ACACACACACACACACACCACACACACAGTGAATGTCTCCCTGTCGCAGCAGTGGCCCCGCCCCCCTCACAGTGGGACAGAGCCTGGGTGGGTGTGTGACGGTGACAAAATGGCTTCTGAGCATGAGGATGAGTCCGAAAAGTGGGTCCAGTGCCATTGTGAAATTGTGTGTTAACATCACTACGACTTCTGCTGCTCCCCCCCTCCCAAAAACCATCCCCCCTCCACCGCAAACAGGACCATACATCATTAAAATCTCTCTCATTTGCCTTTTGCCCCTCCCATCCTTCACTCTTGACCCCCCTCCCACACACACACACACACACACACACACACACACACACACACACACACACACACACACACAACCACACACACACACACACACACACACACACACACACACACACACACACACACACACACACACACACACACACACACACACACACACACACCTAGTGCTGTACAAAGGGGAGACCACGGCGTGGCTTCAGCTACATAAGCACAACTTTTGGCAGCACTACTGTACATTAAAACCCAGTGTAGTTTTTTTTTTAAAGAGAGCCCTTATTCGTGTTTTGTCGACGCGTTGCCTCACGACTGACCCACTGACACAATTTCACAGCCGACTGAGTGGATGGTTTGGTGCGATTGTTAGCTTTTGCTTCGTCCAAAAACGAAGAAGAACCAAAAAGAAAGATAGTCCGATGGGTGACAGAAGCCAGAGGTGAAGACACAGACAGCTGATGTTGGTAGAAGCAATGACTTAGCAAAAACTTTGCAATCCCCCCAGCCCCGTTCAAAGAAAACAACGAAAGAAAAATCAAATGTTCACTTTTTTTCCCAAAGAATGGGGTTTGTTTTCGGAAAAGCACACACACAACATGCTTTCACACAAAGGCCTTGTTGTGTGTCGGCCATTTTGGATCCGCTGTTACAATTCTGGACAAGCGAGTGGTGTCGTGGAGCCAAAATGGAGGTTGGTTTTTCCTGCCTGTCTTTCAACACGCCGGTGTCGGGGTTGGTGTGTCGGCAGATGAGGGGTCAGAGGGTGTGATGAAGTCAGTGAAAGGGGAGAAGAGGGCGGAGGGGGTCAACATTACAACGTCTGACGCCATGCCAGGTAAAACCATACAATAACTCAATCCGAGGCCTGCTTGTTTTGTAACTGACTTTTCCCTATGTTCTCTAACTAGCTAGCTAACTCTAGAGGGACCTGAGAAGTAAGCGAACTGCTTTGCACCTCTGTAAACCTCTCACTACACCGCCTGAAACTGGACCCACGACATTTCCTGGATTGACACAAAATGCCCTGCCTAACAGGCAGGTTGAAGCCAAGAGGGCTAGCTTGTTAGCAGCATCCGATAAATCAACAATGACGTCAAAAACATGAGGCTCTGATTCAAACTGTTTGGATCTCTTTTGATTTTTTTTCCGATTAGGTCATATATGGATTTCGCTACTTCAAAGCTAGCCTCTTGGCTCATCCCTCACTGTGACCCAGTCTCAAAACCACCGCTATCCCTGTTTCTAAACTAGCATGGGAGCCGGTGGGACTTGACTCTTAAGGCGTAGTGTGGTTGATGTCAACTACTATAGAGGGTAAAGGGGGGGTACTAAGGGCGAGGAGAATGGGGGGTGACAAATGTGACTCTGATACAGAAGGCACTGTGGCTCTCTAGGGGGTTTTGAGGAAAACGTCCCCACCTGTCGTAACCTTACTTAATAGAAGGTGTGGGCAGAGGGGTTATGTGTTTGCGCCCCCTTGACTCCCGCCAATCAAATAAACAATCAACGAAAAGAAAACCCCCCTATCCCCATCTTCACTACGCTATGCTCAACTACTAGGCCTGGAGGCAACACATTTCGGGAGAGGAGAGAAAACGATGAGGGAAAGGTGACAAAAGGGGTTTCACTGTGTGATGTCAAGAGGCGTGTGCAAACGAGGTGTCGATCTTTACGATTAGATTCATTTATCCGTTCTACAGTACCATATTGTTGCAGGTTTTCCTCCGAAATAATACCATGAGGATGCTTATGAGGTCTGCATAGTGTCAAAACACGTGGACTGGGGTTTGTCTTCTGGCTTATGCGAAGAAAACAGTGCGAGGTTTCAAGAGTAGCTAGATCGTCAACCGTGTCATGAGCATGAACGGTATGCAAAATAAATAAATATCTGAAACTCTAATTATACTCTGTCTGTTATCTATAACTACATCTACTGGTTTATATCTAGATTTATACGTACTTTATCATCTATATATTTATCTATACTTTATCATCTTGTCTTAAGAGTTATTGAATACTCAATAGTTATTTTCTTTCATAAAAATAAGGATGAAAATAGAAGTGTTTCTGTCTTGTAATGCCTTTAGTGTCTTCAGTGTCGCTTTCTGGCAAGCTGAAAGAACAGATGTCAAGAAAGCAAATGGACAGAAAAAGAAAAAGGTGGATGAGGAAAGAGAGGTTGGCGGATACTGTAGTGGGTTTTGGCAGAAGAGGTTTCAGCTTTGCTACAACCTCATATGATTGGATTGGGGATTTTGGTGACTGTTCTCTGGTTATCCAGACCTGAGAGAAGGGGTTGGGGGGAGGGAGGGGTCGTCAGCATTGGCACAGACAGGCAGACAGACGGACGGGCCGACAAACGGACAGATATGGCGTCTCTCAGGCTCCATCCATGTTTCCTGACTACGACTGGACTTCGTCTCTTATATCTTACAAAGATATAAGAGACAGGTATAAGTAGAGGTTTTCAGTCCAGGTCTAGAAAACAGAATGTGGCCTGGAGGCTGTCCTGTAGAGGGGGAAGGCAGGGCGGATAATGTGCGCTGATAACTGCCCCCTGGTGGCAAAAATAGAGAACAACACCCACCTAATACTGACACCAACATTGCACCACCAATACTGTGCTGTCACTGCCGGCAACTGATCGCACTACAAAACTACAGAGCCAGACAGAGGGAAAAGGTTGAGATTCTTGTTTTTGGCTGCTCGTGGAAGAATTCAACCTTGGTAGAACATTAACTTCAGGTTGGTCTGAAACCTCTGCAATGTAAAACACAAACTCTTCCACATTCTCATTGATCCGGTCTACCCCACCCTTTGAAAATGAATTCTTGATCTTTTGGGTTGGCTTGACAAGAGTACGAACCCCACACATCTTTGCACGTCAGGTACCGAAGCTCCCCTTGACTTCTACCTTCACCATTGTGTAGAGAGAGTGTATCTTAAGAGTTGCGTTACAACACGCAGCGCTGCAAAGTGGATGTTCCCAAGCCATCCTTGCCCCAAAGCATTAGGAACCCGGTAAACGTCATTGAACGGGGGGGATAAAAAACATAACGGATGTAAACAAGATGGACATAGCATACTTAAACTCCAAATAACATGACAACAAATCTACAGCAACAGTTCCATCAATCAATCAATCAATCAACAATCAATCATCAGTATCATCATCATCATTGTCATCGTCATTTTGCATTGACATTGATATCATTATTCATAACACTATCATCGTTAACAATAATAAATCAAGTGTGGTAGGAGTCCGCTTCTCTCCACTCTTTCTCCCTCTTGTTTCTCAAGCAACAAACAGGAATGTGATCCTGCAGGTCTTCCTGTCTTTTTACAGGTTGTAGACACATAGATCTAGATCAGTATCGGCAGAAGACTCAAACAAAATAGCCGACTGTCAAAAGTCCCATTTGAGATGTTAAATAGAGAAAGAGAAAGAGTGTCTGAAAGACGAGGACTTCTTTTGTAAACTTAAATGCAAAGTTTCCTATAAAGCCCCCAGGTCCCACCCACACCAGTTAGATTTCCTCTCTAGTATGTACTTAATCAATCATGCAGGTTTCCATCAAATGTTGGACTCCGAAAAAGATCAAAGGAGGTTGAGCGAATGCAACAGAAGAACCAAGCTCCAATGTCCGAAGAAGAACAAGAAGGAGAAGTAATCGATAGAAGAAATACTGAAGAAATAAGTCTTTTCCCCCATCCCTCCTCTCCTCTCCTCCGCCCTTTTCAACGTGTGATGTAATTTCCTGTCAGGTCATCCCTCACCTTTGCACCAGGTCGAGTAACTGAGGAGGAAGGGGCTTGACGAAGTGTCCGACTACCTTCTCAAGTTATCTGAGCCCACCCCCCCCCATTGCGCACTCGAAAAGGAAGTGAGCCCACACGTGCCCCACCCCCCTCCACTATCACCACTGGCGAACAGGAAGTGATGTCACACCAGCTCCGTCAGCATTAAGTGAGTCTTTAACAGTAAACAGAGATGATAAAACTCATCAAATATCAGCCAGCGCTGTGATTGGCTGGTTTTTGCAGTATAGGCGGAGCTTCCTGGTTCTGTCCCTTGGAAAGGAAAAAGGTCAAAGATAAAGTGGTTGTTCTCCCTTTTTTTCTTTTCATTGTTTGTCATGTAAAGTTTGATTTTGTTCTTCATTGTTCAAGTTTGATTTTCTGGAGGCATAGCTTGGCATGTAAGGGTTAGGGGGTCCTGGCTTTTTGTTAATTTATTTTTCTTTAAACATATCTGTTCGAGGAGCAAACTCAAAGCAGTGGACTAATTTTCAGGCTTTTACATTTAGCAGACTGGCCAGCGACAGATAGCACACATCTGACGAAACTAACCAATCACGCGACAGTCTGGGAGAAGCCCTGTTAGGGCTCATAAACCGTGATCATCGCTTTTTTGTTCCCACAACTTTCTTTTCCTTCTGCAGCCTGGCCTTGCTGGTCAAGCATAGAAATCTGGGAAGTGTAGTTCTGAGAAGGAGAGAGGTAAACTGTGCCCGGGCCTCGCCCTAGCTGTCTTGGCTGTCTCTTTTTCATTTCATCCATGTGCTGCTCTGTCACTGAAATGAGTCTTACAGAAAATCTGTAAAAAGGCTTTTTGCAGCAACCTCCACCCCCCCCCCCCCCCCCCCCGCCCCGCCCTTTTTTTTCTCATTTAGAGTCTGAAGGGTTAAGGTAGAGGGTGTCCAACCCCCATTCATATTTTCACCCCCTCTGCTTTTTTAAAAGTCTACATATCCAAGGCCAGAGCACCGGAGGCTGCTATTCTTCTCCTCTCCTGCCCTCATCCCTCGCTCCCTGTGGTTGCTAGCACCAGTCATCCTCGTCCGTCTCACTATAAGGTTCATGCAGGCCCTTGCGGGGCCCTCGAGCATGGGGGGGCCGTTGGTGTGGATGTGGTGGCACCCCGGGTGGCCCCCGCCTTATGTTGGGGAGGTGAGGATGGAGCGGTAACCATTGGGGCACCCTACGTGGATGCGGGTGAGGGGGCGGAGGGGGCCCATGGTGGGCAGTCCTAGGTGAGCGTGGGTGAGGGTGAGGATTTCCCCCATGTGGATGGGGGTTGCCATGAGAGAGACTTTGCTCGTAGGCAGGGGGCTCGTGGTGCCGCTCGTACTCGTAGTCGCGCTCATAGAAGGGCCCGTCGCCCCCTCAGGCTGTCCCCGGGCGGACCCCCGCTCCAACGGCCTCGGTGAGGTGACCTGGGGGAGCGTGGAGAGGCGAGCGCGGGGACTGGTTGCCTGGGGGAATGCGGGGAACCGTGGCAGGGATGAGGAGTCCCCCGTGCTGGGGAGACGCTTGCGTGAAGGTGGTCGATGGTGATAGCCTCTCTTCGTGGTCTGGAGGGGAGAAGTGTAGGGGGGAGGGCGGAGCGCAGTAGGCCCGGACCCTGGGGGGCCGTAGAATGGCCTTGCGGACGGCGGGGGAGTAGGTTACATGTGGACGGGGGACAGCTGGGGTCTGGGGCAGCTGGCGACGGCCTCTCCGCGGAGTGCTGGTCCCCGAGGTCGAGGGGACCGGGCTGCCGCTCACCGAACTACTGCCCTACAGCAAAATGTAAACAAGGAAAATCAAAACGCACCACAACAACAACAACAACAACAACAACAACAGAGACCAGAGTAGAGCAGAGAGGAGGTAGGTAGGGAGGTAAGGAGTAGGTAGGTAGGTAGGTAAGGTAGGTAGGTAGGTAGGTAGGTAGGTAGGTAGGTAGGTTTGTAGGGTAGATAGGTAGGTAGGTAGGTAGGTTGGTAGGTAGGTAGGTAGGTAGGTAGGTAGGTAGGTAGGTAGGTAGGTAGGTAGGTAGGTAGGTAGGTAGGTAGGTAGGTAGGTAGGTTGGTAGGTAGGTAGGTAGGTAGGTAGGTAGGTAGGGTAGATAGGTAGGTAGGTAGGTAGGTAGGTTGGTAGGTAGGTAGGTAGGTAGGTAGGTAGGTAGGTAGGTAGGTAGGTAGGTAGGTAGGTAGGTTGGTAGGTAGGTAGGTAGGTAGGTAGGTAGGTAGGTAGGTAGGTAGGTAGGTAGGTAGGTAGGTAGGTAAGGTAGGTAGGTAGGTAGGTAGGGTAGATAGGTAGGTAGGTAGGTAGGTTGGTAGGTAGGTAGGTAGGTAGGTAGGTAGGTAGGTAGGTAGGTAGGTAGGTAGGTAGGTAGGTAGGTAGGTAGGGTAGATAGGTAGGTAGGTAGGTAGGGTAGATAGATAGATATATAGATAGATAGAACACCATTGAAAATCATTCAAAAACATTGATGAGGCAAAGAATTGACATCAAGAAGCCACCACGTCACATTGAAGAAAAATGGACAGAAAGAGAAACAGTGATAAAGAAAAAAGCGTAACACAAAAAGGAGAAATTGATATCCATAAGTAGGTGTATGACTCTTCGTGAACTCTTACTCGATAATAAAAGAGTCGTTGTGGCAGGTGCTATATTGGAATTCAAACCTTACATTGTTGATCTAGTGTAAAACAAACACAGCTGGTTCTTGCATTTGATTTGCAAGAAAAATATAGATCATTTTATTTTAATACCTGACGGCTAGTTCACACTGCACGACTTTCTTGACTTGCCCAGGAGGGAGAAAAAGCCAAATGGATCGCAAGGACTTTGGTTGGAAGGGAAACCTGAAGTAGGGATCGGCCGAATAACTTTATGGATTGCCCGATACTGGACGTACATGAATTTTGGGAGAATAGATGGAAGAATAGACTTACTCATCTGGAATTGCTCCTGGTTAAAGATCAGGTAATTTGACCGTTGGGTTGCAGGTTGGTCATGTTGGGTGAAAACCACAATGACTTCAAGAAAGCAAATTGTGTAATTTGGACAATACAGCAATCTGACAACTTTGAAAGTCATTGTAGCGTGATCTTAACTAAAGAAATCCGACTGTGACTTCAAGATTGACTTAATGACAGTACAGAACATCTCAAGGCTATTTGGGCCTTGATCCAACCTGCATACACTTACACACGTTATATAAGAAACTCTACAATATAGAAATTAAGAAGAAGGAACAGTAAAAGACAGTGTTGGACAGAACTGAGAAGCTGTCCCTAATCTTGGCATTAACCTCGGTGTCTTTGGAGCCCACCTGTCTGTGTCCTCGTCCTTTCCGGCCCCCTCGCTGGGGGAGCGGGACCAGTGGCTGGTCCTGGGGGTGCCTGGGGGGTGGTAGTCGTGTCTTTCAGGGCCGTAGCGCTCCTTGTCCATGGAGCTGTGATGGTGATGGTGGTGATGGTGGTGGCGACGGTCCTTGGTCCGGCCGCGGTCCCTCTCGCGCTCCTTTGGAGGAAGGTCGCCCGACTGCGTGGTGGTGCTGAGGTCTGTGCCCAGACCTAGCAGGGAGATGCCTCAGTTTACATTTGTACATACAAGGCCCACTCTTTATTTTATCGAGAGTTATATAGAGTTTATCTAGAGGCATACAAATGAAGCCAATCCCCCTTTTTACCACCGAAATTAGCATTATCTTTTTAAAAGCGGAAACCCGCAAAAAACCCAACTTTCTGATTGCCAGTAGATGAGTATGCCTTTCAGTTGCTATGTCCAACATGCTAGGAAGCATAGTAAAGAGTACAAAGCAGTTATGGTGGTTACTTTTGTTTTTTTTCAAACTCTCTAACCAGAGTTGGTGATTGTGGAAACAGTGTAACGTGTAAAGAACAGACATTTGTTTAATTAATTGTATGCTTGTTGTTGCAGAAATACATACACATGTGCAGTCAAATTAAAGCACAGCAAATGAATGAACAGCAGCATCACTACAGCCTCTGGGAAGCAAAGGAGAGTCCTCTCCATCAGATTAGAGAACTCTCCAATTATGAATAGGATTCAGGGTATAACAGTGCCAGCCGTGTTGCATTCGCTCCACAGCTGAAGGCAGGCCATTTGCATTCACAATTAGTGGTGAAGTGGGCAATGTTCTTTTGAAGGGCTTCTCTGTGCCTAAACTTGACTTGCATACATGTAGTGAATGTGATGACAACTCTAATCTCTTCGCTCAATGAATGCACAGATTGCTGTAATCGCCTCAACAATTGAGTTGCCCTTGACTGTCCAGCATTCCCTCAACTATGACAAGGATCCATCAACTCTAGATATCTAATGACATTGTGTTTATTGTACATTCATGGAATCCAAAATTGTAAAATGCTAACACCTTTCCAGGTTTTAGGACTCATTGCTGCACCACTGAATCAGATACATGCCTTAAGATAGTATAAATGTCCGCTCTGAGTGACTCACCCGTGTCAGCGTCAGTGTATCTGGTCAGCGAGCGCTGCGAGGCCTGGTGATTCCTGTCTCTGTGCCGGCGACCTCCTCCGTGTTTCCCCTCCTCAGAAACCACCCTCTCCAGGGAGTAGTCGTCCAGCCTCACCCCCCGACCCGCACGCCCGTGGACCAGACTGGAGGTGGAGCGGCGCATCGGACTGGTGTCGGTGATGGTCTGTGAGGAGGAAGGCGCGAGTAAAAGAAAAGAAGAGAGAGAGCGATAGACAGAAAAGAGAGTGGAGGAGAGAGAAGGAAAGAAAGAGAGAATAAGAAAACAGGAAGTAAGATTTAATGCATCATGATTGGTAGTCCTCAACTCTGAGAAGGACAACCCTAGTTTCTCTTGTTGAATGAGTGTATGACTACTGCATGGCGTTGAATGTCTGTACTATTTGACCGATCCTAAATAAGATATCTGAGCATTCCTGCATCCCATTAGCTTTACCCATAGCACCTGGAACAAGCACATCTAATACCATGCGTCTTCACCATGACATGTAGGAATGAAACAGGAAGAAACAGGGAACTGACAGCAAGGAGGACAAAGGGGCAGGAGACAGAGAGCAAGCATGAAGGAGGGCTGTAGAAACCATGCCTCACATGCACCTACTACTGGAATTTTCCAGATGGCAGCCATGTTTCATTTGAATCATTGTCAAGCACATCAGGTGTTTGATGGGCAGTGGTAAACTTCTAATTTGACAAAAACATTACAGAACTTTTCCCTTAAATAGTTCTTACATTTCAGTGTGGACAGAAGGTACACATGTATTAACAGCTTGAGTGAATAAGCACATTGCTGCTTAACCAACACTATACAAGCTTGTAAAGCTGATGACTACCATATTTGACTCTCTTGTTTTGCTGACTGTTACCTAACCACATCCACACTAATTCCAAGCTAATGAAGCGTCACAGGGACTCTCTTTGAGCGTTTTCTCTCCATACATTCATCTTTTTTTCTCCATGTTTCATATGGGCTTCATACCTTACAAAAATAAAGATATTTTTGTCCAAAGACAACCACTATGTCTCCCAACAAAATGTGCATCAGTATGACTTAAATCCAATATGGCAGCCATGTGGAAAAGCTAAGCTGTCATTCCATAACCCAAAGAGTCCGGTCAAAACGCTCCGCAAGAACCCAACAGGAAAATCTTACAGGATCGATTGTTGGATTTAAAAAATACATTACAAAATAAATAAGGTTTTTATTGCTAAAAATGATATAACGTACATCTAAGTGTGGATCACAATGATGTCAGTGCAGTTGGCTTTCATTTGTATTTAAAAGGGTTGATTTAATTGTTTTGACAGAGACTTTCTGCCTGTATATTTAAAATGTACTAGAAACCTAGCAAGTACTGTATGTGTGTATATAAATACATCTAATGCATGAAGGTATTGAACACAAGATAAAAAAGTTACTTTCAGAAAACCTTAAAAAGGAACTGGCTCAAGTTTAGTTCTAGGACCCCCCTTGATTCTCCTGATGGGTTCATAACCAGACTGTGACTATGACAGGACCCCGCTGACACTCTGAACCCCCCCCCCCCCTCCCATCACCATGTGATGATATGGCACATGTCAGTCTGCAAGCAGCAGGCCAGACAAAGACTCAGACGAACACAAGAGGATTCCCCGTCCTGAGAGGAGCAACACACACACACACACACACACACCACACACACACACACACCACACACACACACACACACACACACACACACACACACACACACACACACACACACACACACACACACACACACACACACACCACAACACCACACACACACACACACACACCACACACACACACACACACACAAGCAGAACTCGAGGAAATCTCTTCACGAAGAACAAACAATGAGAAGCAGAGCAACCTCAACACGAGCAAACACGAGAGAGAGAGAGAGAGAGAGAGAGAGAGAGAGAGAGAGAGGAGAGAGAGAGAGAGAGAGAGAGAGAGAGAGAGAGAGAGAGAGAGAGAGAGAGAGAGAGAGAGAGAGGGAGCTTGAAGATAAGCTGACAGGACAGATAGAGAAGTTTGAGCTGTGATCAAAGTAGATCTGATAAGTGACATTAGGACATGTTTCATTCAAAACCAGGTGGGCGGATTCACTGCAGCAACACCATTCAGATGGTGTCTCTATATAGTTGCAGCAAATAACATCTTCTGGGCTGTTTTTCATGTGACCGGCAAAACAATATGCAAACCATATTATTCAAATATTTATTGATTGAATAATTTTTAGTCGTCCTGAATATGCCTAAAGACATTAAAGCTTAAAAAACATGCAACTATCACCATCCTAATTGTCCTATACTGCAGTTAAATCCCATCACATGGCGTCCTCCGCGAGGGGCAAACAACCCCCGCTAAAAACTACATTTGAGGTCAGATCCAGTTTGAAAAGTGATTGACAGAGAGAAAGAAGACAGAGAGAAGGAGAGGAGATAGAGAGAAGTACATACACTGAGGTTATTTCCACGAGGCCTGTGTCTCCTCCGCTGCAGAGCAGGCAAACACAGAGATGATACGTAGAGCAGAGCGTAAACACACACACACACACACCACACACACACACGCACACACACACGCACACACACACACACACACACACGCGCACGCACACGCACAGAGAGCATTGGTCCGACAAAGCAAAGCCGCCAGGACCAAAAGAGAATAGAGAGAGAAATGTATAAAAGAAATCAGAGATATGAGAAAGGGGAAAATCGGAGGAGATACAATTTTTTTTTGGAGGAAGGAGATGAAGGGAGGGATGAAATACACATTACAGGGGAACAACAGGTAAATAATGATAGGTGATAAAGGGGGGGGGGCACAGAGAGGAGAAAGAGAGAAAACCCAGTTAATTTAAAGGCCAGTGCACACACATAAGAGCGAGGTGCCAGTGAGCGAGAGGACACACACACGCACACGCAGACACACACGCAGACACACACACACACACACGCACGCACACGCGCACACGCACACACACACACACACACACACACACACACACACACTTACCGAAACAGCATGAGCTCTCTGTAAGGCAGAGCAGTGTTAGAAGGCAGTAAGTAACAGTGTATGGACACACACACATAAACTGTAAATACAACACACACACACACACACACACACACCGACGCAAACACACACACAGGACATTTTCTACACCTTTATTCATGTGGAGCTATTTATCTATTTATACTCGTCACGATGTGCACTGAGGAGTAGTTGTGTTCAAATCTACACACAGAAATCTAAGGTAGTGTTTGTTTCAATGAGCGTGGACTTTTACAAAAAGAGTGGAGTCAAAAATATAAAAGTGGAGTAAAGAAAACAGATGTCCTGGTGTCATTAATTGAGAGTATTAACACGTGTGTAGGAACCACGCACACTTTTATATTTATTAAGAGAGTGTTTTAAAGAGATAACACTCTTCAAAACACACTCATCAACCCCACCCATTGCACGATACAAATATTAAGAATAAGTATGAATGTCACTGACACCTCTTATACACTCTCCTCTAAATGTTCATACAGAAACCATGGAGTAACCAGCATACCAGAGTGAGAGCAACATGAGATATGGAATGAATGTGTGTGAGTGTGTGTGTGTGAAACTGCAGCCAGAGGCTTCGTGGTAAATGGAAATTATTTAGTTACATAAGAACATATAATTTAAATTCAAATTGACTAGGTCTAGAAACCATTTGTCCACAAGATGTAAATACATGGACCGTTTTCAGGCTATTTCTCTGTGTCCTGCACCATTTTCTGTTTGAGGTTAAGTAGAAAGTGCCACAGGGGTTCTCAAACTTTTTGTTCATGTGGACCACTATTTATTATCAAGGATTTTCGCGGACCACCTCATATGCAAACCGTAAAAATAAGTACATATATAAACGTAGTGCCAGATTCCAAGATTGACGGCGAACGTTAGCTGGTTTTAGGCTCTCGTTAGCCAGTGTCTCGTAGCACAGAACGCATACTGGCAAAGGCTCATCTTCAGTGCCTGTGTAGTAGATGCCTCCGACTCACTCTCATTATCTTCATTAACGGTAACGTTAACCTGTTTTCTCTTCAGAGAACCTGATGCTAGCCACCGATCGCGCACACGTAACCATGGGTAACCAGTGGTGAAATTAAGTGTTGTCCATAATTAACAATAACAAATATCTGCGTTTTGACACTACGTTTATGTACTATGTACAGTTTGCATATGAGGTGTTTTTTTTTTTTTTTTTTTTTCACGGACCACCTGCAGTACCCTCGCGGACCACCAGTGGACCACAGTTTGAGAAGCGCTGCTCTAACACACTGAATCCACCAAAGAATGGCACAATATGAAACGCTTGACTTTCTTTTGATCTCACCAAATGCATTTGCAGTTCAAATTAAAGGTTGAAATTGGAAATCTAAGCACAAACTTCTACAATAACACATCTGAGAAGTCAACGCCGGGTCAGTTCGATGAAGCCAATGATCCAGAAGCCCCGGTTGAAACCAAAGTACCACACAAATAATCTCCAAATACAATTTATTAGCAACCTATGCATGGGGTTGCATTTGTTTCGCATGTTTTTTTAAGAAGCACACGCTTGTATTTTCAGTTTTGATGAGAGGATGTACCTCTGGCCGCAGTTCACACAGGACAGACACACCAAGGATTGAATGGAAATGGATTTGGGAGCAGGGGATGTTTGGAAGGTATTCTATAGTCTTCTAGATATATTTGTACACACATCTAGACCACTTATCCAGCCCTCCGACCCTTTTTGTTTGCATTGGGTCGGCTGCTGGATAAGGGAGGGTAGGAGTGAGGAAAGAGGAGGTGAAGGGAAGGAGGGAAGGAGGGAGGGAGATTTGACAGATGGAAGTGAATTTACAAAAGTCTCACTGATTCTTTGCATCCTGATAAACATTTAGTAGGAAGTGAGCCATGTTTCCTATGCAGAGAACTAGAGCAACGAAATAAAATGACACACACGTACTTTGTCTAATATCTATCTAATATATCTATACTTTATTAATCACATTTTTCTATGACTAAATATGAGTTTCTTCATTTTTTTGCTATCTATCTTGATTTTTTGTGGTTACTACGAATGTCCAGTTACGTGTTGATTTCCAAGTGTGCAGATGCAACACATGTATTTTCCAAATAAACAGGGAACACCTGGTTGTATAGGTTATATTACAAGTAAGTTAACGTTTGGGTTATAAGGAAAGTTGCATAACATTACATCACATCACTTACAATAAGTGCTGAAACCATAAAGACTCAAACTCTGAACAACAAGGAAAGTGCAGATATATTCACTTCAAGCAAGTCATATGGTGGTGAATTAGTTACAAGGCCTAAAATAACTCAACAAGTGCTTCACTGCGGAAGTAACTAGACTAATATTTTATTATTATTTATACTATTTGATTACACAGGTTTGAGAACAGCTTAAACAAATCTGATATCAAACTAGTTGACGAATAAAAACCCCCCTAAAAATGTGTTTTTTTATTCAAACGTATGTACAGTACAGTTACTTTTGTATATAGACACTTCTTGCACTATTTGTATTTACTTGCACATCTCAAAACATTCTCTTGCACTATTTTATCTGTTCTATTTGTTGTATGTCCTATATATACGGAGCCTGTGACTTAAGTTTTTTATTGCCATACCTACACTGTAGCTAATGACAATAACGCCTTGAAACTTGCAAGTATACAGTATAGGCTGTTTGTATTTAAACGGAGGGGGTTTGGTTCATACGAGGCTCAGTTCTCTTCTCTGTTTCAGATGCAAGGAGAGACTTTTCCCATTCACTTCAACTGTCCTGCTAACAGGGGTAATGATGGAGGATGATGATGATGATGGGGGGGGGGGGGGCGGGTGGGTGGTGGTGGGATGAAGGTGCTCACTTGGTTGTCTGCCGAGAGGCGGGGCATGGAGAGGGTCCGCCCGTGCCCATCCATTGGGTGATAGGGCTCAGTGTCGGAGTACCCGTCCCGCCCCATCTCCCTCATTTCTACCGTCTGTAAAACACAACGAGAGGGGCGTGACCGCTGTCCGCTGAGGGGGCGTCGACTAAATGAGGGAGGGGCCAACTAACGACATGAAACAGATTCAATGATGAAGGGCTATCACGATATCAGATTGGCACTATACGATTACCGTGACTTAAAGAATTCACAATATTTTTGCAATATCTTTAAAACAAAATTGCTATTTTTTGTGTTTGTCAAGTTTAGGGAGATGGATGGAAAAAGGGAGTAACCTTAGCTGTACAAAAAGCGTGCAAAGATATATAAATTATTTAAGAGGCATTCTATCATTTATTTTATTATGATATCATGGTTAATGCACATTTGGGTATATCGCGACAGCCCTACAATGATGTACGGGGAAAAGTTTCTTATATTCCTTTTCAATTACAGTAATAAAAGATTACAATTGCGTTTTGCAACCTTTGTTGTGTTGAAGAATACACATTTAAAATGGGGTGGTTGTTGGATGGATTATGTCCGCTGAGGGGGGGGGAGGTGGAGTCGACTAAATGAGGGAGGGGCCAACTAACGACATGAAACAGGTTCAATGATGTAGGGCTATCACGATATCAGATTTGCACTGTACGATTACCGTGACTTAAATAATTCTCATTTTTTTTGTGAGATATCTTTTTTAAAAAAAATGGCTTTGTTGTGTGTTTTGTCAAGTGTAGGGAGATGTTCTTATTTGGAAACATTGGGGATGAATCTGCCAACTGAATAATCCAAAACTGGGGCTGGAAACTCTTCAAAGAAACAACCAAATCCTTCTAAACTGTTTGTACATTAGTGGTTGGGGGGTTGTAGAGAGAGATGAGGGACTGGGAGAGGACGTCCCAACAGACACGTGGAAGTAAGGGTTGCAGCGATGAGGAGAGCCGGTACATCACAAAACACATCTACCAACTCCTAGCCAAGGACTCAAGAGGACGTTGAAGAGTGTACAGAAACCATGAGGGAGGAGGAACATGTTGTGAGAGAATAAATAAAGATCTCAAAGGACAGAGAGACACCACGAGAAGTGTCTGAGAAGCTCCAGGCCTGAACTCTGACATTGTGATGATGTTGGGCTTAAACACAGCATGCCTTCATTAGTTTGAATAAGCCACATGATATCACCAATAACACACAACCTTCATATTTTGATGGACTGTAACTTAAAAAAGTTAGCCCACAAAATGTTAAGCTGCTAATAGTGTTAGCTAGCTAGGATAAAGACATTAGCCAATTAGCTGAAATTATTACAGTAAGTGATTTTCATTACGATTTAACTAGTAGGTAACATCATGTAAAGCAACAAATAACTTATATTAACTTAAAGACTGTTGTTGATATTATTAGCAATAATGTCTCTTGTCGTTTTCCTGTTTGCTAACGCTCACATTGTAACATTAGCATAACGAGCTAACCAATTTCAAACTCCCAGGGTTTTGTATAAGTACGTTCTGCAGAAGATTGGGTTTTAGAGGCAATACCAATATGGTTTTTACTTTTTCACTCAGTCACGTCCCTCTCCTTGACAGGCTGTGCTTTTGAATATAGGCTCTCTTACTAAAATCAAAGAGTACGGAGTAATTTGTTTTCTTTATGAATTGAATTGACGAATAACTGTTACGCCTAAAATACATTGAGTAGTTAATATTGGGTAGGTTGCGCCAATTAAGCTCCATAATTTGTTAATGGGATTGCCTTTCCGACAGGTGGAGAGACTTTAAATAATTTAACATTGTGTTGATAAAATGCTGTGTTTTTTATGTGAAGTTTAAACACTGTAATAGTTTTGAGGGTTTTAATATCTGAATTGCAAAAAGATTCTTCCCGCTACCATAATATTTCCTGCAAACAAAATAGCTGCGTAACCAAAACCATTATTGATTGCACTCAAATGCTTTTACTAGACTGAAAGGTAACCGGCATGGTCGTAGACGAGCTGTGTGTGAGCGGAGAACTCGCTGGTCTTGAATTGGTGTGTTACCATGTTGGCGACATGCTTGTTTGCTCATCATACCTGCGGGTTGTGACGGTTGTCGTGCAGATCGTCGGGTGGTAGGGGCGGTCGGGGGCTCTCAATCATGACATCCTCGGGAGGTCTGACACACACACACACACACACACACACACACACACACACACACACACACACACACACACCACACACACACACACACACACACACACAACACACACACACACACACACACACACACACACACACACACACACACACACACACACAATTCAGAGGATTACAAATCAGGGAACTCAAGGACTCAGCGTCAACTAGCAGTCAAACGACATCTTTGACGAATGGAGAGGCTGACTTTAAGAATGGTCTGTGTATGAATTTGGTTGTGATATGGAATCTCTTGAAAGCTGGTATTTATATTATATAGAATTTAATTTCTCGTAAACGCACACTTAAAACAATTGGTTATCTCCCATCAACAGTGTACTCTGTACGGTCGCCTTTTGAGAACATTTGGGCAACATTGGGAACATTCAGGTTAAGCTGAAAAGCAGGGGTGTCCAACATTTTTTCACCGAGGGCCACATACAGAAAAATATACGAAGGGCTGGGCCGCTCACTAGAGGTATATCGCCTCATAAGTTCAGTTATAAGTTAGCAAAATCAATCAAATGTAGGTAGATGATGCTTGTGAGTGTTGGCAGCTCACCCCTTAAAACAGAAGCCTCAGATTGATTATAATAAGGAGAAATAGGAAGGGTGTATTTCAAGCTTGTAAATAAGTCATTGGGCTTTTTTCTTATCAACTAAGATATGTTAGAAAATGTTTCCAACTTTAATTGACTGACTATATTTGAAAAGTGGTCTTATTAACACATGAATACTAATGTGTAATATATGTTTACATTTACATTTAAGAAGTACAATATAAGACAAGCACAAGTTTCATTTGTGGGCCATATTCCATTATACTTATTGAATTTGCTAAGGGCCGATTCTTGGACACCCCTGCTGTAAATGATCAGTGTACCAAATTATAAATCCAACCATTACTTTTTAAACCCTGGTTAAAGCGCTTAAGCTGTCAGACAGCTGAGGTCCGGAGTAAATAACCTTGATAAATGACCTTCCTGAAATATTATGTGGTAATTTTAAGCATACCTTATGAATGCATTAATGATTACATTAAATAGGTGTGTGAAATACGTCCGTGCAGTCTCACGCTTCCTCCACAGTGTACTCACATGCTGGTGTTGTTGTCTGGTTGGATGCTGGGGAGGCCGTTGGGACCCTGACCCCCATCCGTGCCCTCAGAGGGCGGCTCCATGCGCTGAAACATTAATGGCGTTCGGTTCTGTGTGAGATACACGACATGGCCTGCAGGCTGGCATCAGGCACACTCAGGGAGCAGACACAGGACACAAACACAGGATGCACTCGCAGCATGCACCCACACGAGGGCGCCATCGGCATACACATGGCTGTGGGTATCCAAGGTAAAGTTCCCTGCCAGACTGCTGATCTGGGATCTGCTAACCACACTTAAGTGTTTAAGGGGAAACTATATATTGATTGGTTTCTTCATATCAGTTTGGGCTTATGTTCGGGGACAGAAAGCTGATCCCAGATCTGAATCAGAGGGAAACTTCTACCTTAGGCATTTAAGGTAAGATTTTTCTTAAATTACACATCTTGGACCAGATTACCGTACTCATGAAACAAATAATCAAACAATATGATTTACTCAAAATTCATAGTTCAACAATATGTGTGACCCTTAATTATTTTGAGTAATATGCCATTTTGTGGGAAGAGGACATCTGAACTTGAACTAGTTGTATTAAAAAACAACTGTAGCTTTCATGAGGTCTGTGGTCAGGAGGATTTCCTTCTAGGGGACCCTGGGTAATGGAGTCCTCCTTAAAAGTGGCTTAAAGTTGATAGTTTGTGACTGCTAGAGTTTTGTCATGATCCTCCACAGCCTGGAAGCTAAAGGCTAAATGTGCAGATGGATCGAGGCCGGTTTAGAAACAGATAAACGTCCAATAACCCTCTGACACGTTAGGCTGATCTGCTGGACAGGATTGTCTAGCTACTATGTTAAAGAGTTCTTAATTCAAAGATACTTTAAGTATAGAAACACTAGTTATTTGGATGGTAGATTATTTGCAGATGCTGTCGAAATCTAAATCAACAAACCTATAGTTGCCAGAGAGGTGCAGATAGCTGGGATTTAGTTGGCCACATTTCTAAGTAAGCAAGTGGTCTGATGGGGTAGATTTATTTACAAACTTGAAATGTGGGTTTAACTGAGAATAATAAGTATGAATGATATAAAATGCATTTGACATGTTAGCATAACGTCAAAGAACAAGTCAAAGGAACGAAAAAAGATCATTGCTAATGAATATGTTAGCTTGTGTGCTAACCAGTTAGTTATGATAGTTACCAGTTACTAGACAACTTTGGTCAGCTATCTAAAAACTGAAATGATCTGAGCACATTTTGTGGTTGTTATGAGTGTATGACATGAATTTGTTGTCAACATAAATGCTTCACGTATGTGTTCAAGTCCTTTGGATATAAATGTGGTTTTCCAGTATTGCTGCGAAAGGGGTTATTTCATGTAATCTAAAAGCCTTATATTTCCTCACTTTACATTTGACAATTCTTGCTTTCTTTGCGTCTAATCCTGTCCAGTAGTCATTTCCTGTGTCAGAGGTAACTGGTTCACGTCTGTCTCTTGATAGTCTGGTTTGTCTCTGGCTAGCTCTACTTCAGAACATTCCCGATACAAATACTTTGATGGATTATGGCGAAGACATGAACAGAAAACACATAACACAGACACAGGACATTTCAATGGAGGGTGTTTCAGCAGTGGCATATGTATCAATGAAGGCTCTCCAAGGATTGACTGATTACATACGGAGCCACTGGTTACAGGAACATCCACTCAACATCTCACCAACCACAGACATACAGGTAAACAGACAGATTCATGAGCACACAGACGGGAGAGAATGGGTCTTTGGTTAGAGCAACTTGGTGACAATAGACCTGGATTGACCAAATAGGGAGAGCTTGAAAAGTCAAGGTCTCATCTCTTCCTGGAAGGATAAAGGGAGAGCATCAGAAGGACAGAGACGACATGGAAGACAGGAATGAGGGACTGAAAAACAGTGAGAAAACAGGTGAATGACAGACAGGAGACACAATATTTGAGACAAGACAACAGCTCAACAAACACGAAGAGGACGACTGAGACGCCAGTAGGTAACGAGCAAGACGAGAACAACAAATAAGGAATCAAAGAAAAAATCCACTTTCTGCTTCCCTGACATTGTGACCAATTGACTGTGGTCCTTTCCTCATGTCCCTAGTTTTCTTTAATTGGACTTTTTGTTTTCATTTTGCGAGATACTATACTACGAACTACAAATGGAGTGGTCTTGATTGCATATGTTCGTGGCCTTTTGCGGCCATTCTTTCAAGAACATTTCCAGCAGATCCTAGCAATTTTCTTCTGGCCTTTTTCAACTGAAGCCACACCCTTATATTTGATACTAAGGGGCAGATACAAACCTGATGTTTTAGATAGCCAAGGAATATTTCTGTCCATTGTCGCAGTACTGTATATATATCTCAACATGACAAGAGACTGACGCTGATTTAGATAAGCCAGAAAGACAAATGGCATCGCCTTGATAAATGCATTATAACGTTTTTTGGGTGGATTCTTCCTTTTAAATAGAAGGCAATGGAAGAACAAAGACCACAGTGGGCGGAGAGAAGTAGAATGACGTGAGATAGAGTAGAGATGGCCGGACACATTGACATACACACAGACTGGTTAGAGTCCTTGTGTACTGGTGATGTTGAGAGAGCCTGGGTGAACCTGTCCATTCAGTCCAATGGGATGGCTGCATTCAAGAATAAACCAACACAAACTGTATTTGCACTGTTTGAAAGAAAAAGAGTAACAACCTCTCCATTCATTAGACCTCTCCTTTGTTCGGCAAAATGGAAATCCCATCGTAAGAAATAGTCTAAGAAGTCAAAGTCACTCAAGACAACATCGTGAGTGAATTTGGACTTGGTCGAATCTTGTCAGTTTGACAATAAAGTGCTGAACAAAATGGATGATTAGCTGGAGCTAATGGGAGGTATTACATGAATGGAAAGATGTTTGGAGAGTGGATTCAAAATACAAATACAGCGGGGAGCAAGTGCATCTCAGAGGCATTCATTGACGAGAGGGGGAGGAGCACTGACAGGGAACAAAAGATAAGGCCATGTGGTATCATCATCATCATTGCTCAAAACAACAAAAACCATGGTTAGTAAACCTGTGTAATCCTCTTCACCACGTGCAAACAGCCCGTGGTGAACAGGAGAAGAAAAGCAGCGTGAAAAGGAAGCGGTAGCTTACTGGCTATAGAAAGGAAAACAGCTTAATGTTAGCAAGCATTATAAAAGGAATAGGGCTGGCCAAGGAAGCAACAAGGTGCTCGATAAAGGGACGCAGATTTTTAAGGAACATGCTAAGAAAAGGGTAACGCACAGGCTGAGTAAACAGGGTAAACAGGTGATGAAAAGAAAGCAGAAGAAGAGAGTTTGGAAGTGTGGCTGTAGGACTATTTCTTTTAAAATGATATATCAAGGCAAATTCACTCCAAGGGCTTAGTGGAAGCAGGCTCAAAAGAGAGGGCCGAAGGCGGAAGATGAAAAGGTCTGTTGGCGTTCAGGCAAGTTCTCTGTGATGGAGTCTACCTGTTCCTCTCGCAGGGCCTGAAGCTTTTTCGTCTTGCTCTGCCGGTAGTACTCCATGATCATCATGGCGGCGTAGATTTTGCCGACCGTCAAGTCTGTGGCTGCTGAGAAAATGACAAGTTACCCTGCAAGATTAGACCCGAGCGAGATGGGACCCTGAGCCGTGGGGGGGGGAATGGGAGTGGGGGACGTGACGCACAACATTTACAACTACATGCAGCAAACTCCAGCAGTCGGGACAATTCTGAGACGTCAGCTTCAAAATCAAGAGCTTGAGCTGCAAATATCAAGAATTTAAATAATAATTCTCACCAAATTCGTAGGTTTGGGTATTTTAATCTTCAGTTCACAGAATATTTGGTCAGTGGTTACCAATAATTGTAAGCAAAGAACGCTGTGTTGGAGGATCAAAATAAGCAAAAATGTCATTGCTTTCCCACTTTCAGAGGGACATGCATGGACTTTCACATGTTTTATTGTAGATATCATTAAATGTGGGCAAGCATATTTACAGTCATGCTTGTGTGCACCCTTTGGGACACAACACTTCATTCTCATCGGCTAATAGATCTATCCAACACAGGGCTTATTCAATGCATTACTTCAGCTCCGAAAATCTAAAAAGCTCATGCTGCAAACTGTATTTCAGACCAGCTAAATAGGCTAACATTATAATATACAACTTTATGTACAATCGGGCAGGAGAAAGCAAAGTATCTGTTTAAATGCTGACGATGAGTTCCTATGTGCTGCAAGCATTTTCCTGATTTACCAAGAAAAAAAAGGTAATTGCCAAATCTTTGTTGCTGTTAAGAGGCCTTCAAACATAACATTTAATTGTCTTTTGGTGTCTTGGAGCATCATTGGTAACCACAATCTCTGTGAAGCCGTAGCTGAAACAGAACTGTGCCCTCTTGCTGGTGTGCAACCACCAAATACAATATACAATACAACAAGGCCAATAGTCTTTTCACAGGCAGATGCTGAACCATTTCAAGTAGCATTCTCTTTCACTATCATCTAACTGAATCAACCGTTAACATATTTAATCTTCATATTAAGGCTGAGGACCAGGGAGCCACCTCACTAAGAAACACGTCGACACCTCAGTCAAATCCGGGAGAAAACAGGAACTCCATTTTTTTCTAAAAACTCCGGACAAGTATCCCCAGAGTTTGGATGAAACACATACACATTAATAATCAGAAAAAAATGTTGAGCTTTGTTTTGGTGGCTAACTAAAGGAGTGGTGACCTTTTCAAAGTGGCATGGCTCCAAGTCTTTCAGCATTAAAAACACATTATAACGTGTGATAAGAAAGGACCACACATATCTCATACCTATGTGTGTAATAAACCCTTTTCTCTTTTCATGGCTTTTAGCCAAACATCATGGTGCTTTTGCTATGCATGCATTCATTTTACTAGCTTGTGCTTAAATCATTCAAATTGTCAAACAGATCTAACTGAAAATTCATTCATCTTCATTCATCGCAAGCATTTGATATAAACGTTTTAGGCTGGATCTAATGCTCAATCTTCCTGTAGTGAAAAGACTTCTATAGAGGATCTTCTATAGTTGGGCACCCCCTGATACCAGGATTGTCTTGATGTGTGTAAAGATGAGTGTGTGTGCTACTGTCTGCACTCTGATGTGATCTATGTGTGTGTGTGTACACCTATGGACCATGACAGTTAAACCTTTGTCTATTTGTTAGCCTAAATCAGGGGTCTATTTAGGTAAAGGATCCCTTAGCTTAAAGGGAGACGGAGCAGGGACCCCCTACTACTTGCGCCAGGGTTCAGGTAGTTGCATATGTTCAGTATATGTTGTGGATCATATAGCCTCAAGCTCAGTTGTACAACAAATCACTTAGAAAGCCTTTTCTAAAAAGACACAAGTTGCTGTATTCATGAATGGGAAACCAGTTATCCGTTGTGTTTTTGTCTCTAAACCTATGACTCTGAATCTTTGGTTTGGTCTTTAGTTCCTCTATTGTTGAGGAGACTAATGGCGCGTTTCCACTACAGCGCGGAGCACGGTTTAAGAGGGCTGTGACGTCAGCGGCCCGTCTTTGGTTGCGTTTCCACTTGGCCTAGTACCGGCCGGCGGGTCCTAATTCACAGTTTTTCTGGCCTCATAAAATCGCGGGTCTAGGGCCAGAGACAACGAGGCTGAGTCGGGCTGAGTATGCTAAACTAGAGAGAGCATCGCTGGCAAGGGGGCTACAACTTACAACAAGATGGACATATTTGACCGTGATTTAATTGTAATACACGTTTCAAAATGATGCCGAAGTAACAACATACTGATACCGGTTAGTAAAAACCATGAATTAATGCTTTGACAAGTCTGCAGACAGACGGCAGGCCGAAAAACCTTTTAAAATACGTGTTTTCTGAATGGAGAGCGGCTAAGCTAACGCAGTATATGCTCCGACCGTCCACACTCACAACAACGGCCCTATACGACATAAATAAAGCAGCGACTGTATTCACCATGACACAGCAGTCTGTGGTTTGTACTTGTTTAACTTTTGTCTAGTTTCTGAACAGATATGAGGAGCTGTGAGCTCTGAGTGCTAACAGCTAACGGCTGTGTTGTTTTTCTGGGGTTCTCATTGAAGATGACGTCACGGCTCCGCCTACACTGCGTTACTATAGATACTACCCCAGTTCCTAAACTGTAATCGAAATGCGCCATAAGTGAGCCAGTCCTAACGAGGCCTAGCCATACCGAGCGAGGCCGAGCGAGGGCCGTGTAGTGGAAATGCTGCCATAAATGAGTTACTGTGTAAGCATGTGTGACAATAGCAGCCCCCAAACTCTATAATCTCTCCATCACAAACTAACAAAACTAATGCAATCATTACCCATCTTGAGGCTAAATAAATCATTTGTGTCATGATGATGATGGCCAGTAGGACAAAGGCTATGCTTTCCTGTTTCTGAGTAGTTCATCAACCCAGGAACGATATAATGTACTTTATTGGTATGGGCTTGACCAAAACCAACTTTGTCCATGCTCTGTGGGGCAATGAATGTTGACAGCAAACAGGATGATTGTTTGTACATATCTTGCCATAAGTAGGGGGAATTTACAGCTAACTGCATTGGATCTTTACACTAAATGCCTGTCATAGATTATGTTGCTCGATGCTACAGTATTGGAGGTAAATATATGTATTTATGCATATATGTATGTGGTTTATCCTGGAATATCCTGATCACGGCAGATGCGAAGCAGTGAATGACAACTGGCTTAGAAAGCTGTCCTCTCGGTGAGTTGGTGATCGAAGACACACCACACCACTATGCGCCATTTTTTTGCAACTTACCCATGTGCGGTGTAACCAGCAAGTCCAGTTGTCTTCTGCGACAAGTTTTGGCCAAATAGCCATCATCTCCTTTCGTCAGCTCAGCATCCATCTGGTGTTTGTCTGCACCGCCTGGGTTGCCCGGCAAACCAGAATGCCCACACACACACACACACACACACACACAACAAACACACACACACACACCACACACCACGCACACACAGGTCCACACAATTGCAAACACCCCCCACACATAAACACAGGGCAAGAAGAGGTACAGACCAAACAGGAAGGCACAAAGGCATCCAATCGGCAAAATAAATATATTTAGCCATTCACGCGTAAACACATTCACCCAAAACAAAAAGATTATTGTTAGTGTCAGAAATGGCAAGAGTTTGTCATTTTGTACAATAATAAAGAGCTTTCTTGTTGAAGAGAAACAGGACACAAATTGAGAGGTTAAAGGGCATACCCAAGATTACCAAGGAATCCGAAGAATATCAGACAATAGAATAACATTGATGAACAATTAGAGAAAAGGGATATGATAGTACTTGAGGGCCATACCCTTGGCAATCTTTATATCCAGTTGCTGTCCTGATCAGAGCATGAGGGTGGAGTTAAAATGCACCGTGTTGTCACCTGCAACTGGCAGATCCATGCGCAGCAGCCTCTGTGGAAAGCCAGTAAGGATGAGAGGATAAGAAAGGGACGTGTCCGAGCTAAAGTGTGGTTTGCCTGAAACTCCGGGAGAGGGGAGAGGGTAAAGGGTTGGGGACGCGGTTGAGAGAGCTCTATAGACGATAGCCAATTAGAGGTGGAGTAGATTCATCCAGGGTTTTTCAAACAAATAGGGGGCATGACAAAGAAAACTAGGTTTCAATATCTTCTGCTATCTGATAGCCTAATAGGTAGAATCAGTGACATTCAACTCAAGGTGGCTTCTGAACATTTATGTGTATTTCCAAGTGTGCTGTAGTTTTCTTAATTTGATCAATGTATGTGTTTGCTTAGGGAAAGAAACTTGAAAGATGATTCTTTGCGTCTCCTGTGTTTCCAGTGATACTCTACGAAACAGCACAGCTATCCAAAGAGGGCCATCTGCTGCTAAGCAACTGTGAGAGCCGAGAACCACAAGGAAGAACAATCGGAGCCAAAATGGCCTCCGACCCAACCTGTGCCCATGTTCCCTAAATGTGTTGAATGCATTGCCGCATTTACACATCTCTGTTGTTACACACATGTAGATATATATAAAACAGTACACATACACACAACCCCCCTCCAACCCCCCAACATACCCCCCCCCACCCACTTTACAGACAATATTTTCCACAGACTCCAATTAAGTGCGCTTAATTGGAGTCCTTTGACAAAATAAGTCGACTGGAGAACAATAACAGTATCACTGGTGTAATTCTGCTATTTTTTCAGGAGACTGCTGGGGTTTCATTTAGCTGAGGCATCTTCTATAGAGCTCCCCCTACCTGTAAGGAGGGTTCCCTGTCTTAACAAGTTGATACTGTACCAGGTAAAACCAATGGAGAAACCTGAGAATAGAACAAAGCAAGCTGCCCTAGCTAGGGTTGCTTGCCATTTCTATCCCGTCCAGTTGGCATCCATTGGATTTACCTACGAACATGAGCGTTGGGCACTCACGATGGCAAGCACGGTAGTACAATGGCGATTGGGTTGTGTGCATGCTTGTGTGTTCCTGAGTGTGTGTGAGGTGTCAGGCATGCCCAGAGCCCAGGCAGGCGGAGGGCATCGGCCAACATCCACAGCGCTCTGCAGGCAGCAGGCAGGCTCAATGTCGCCCATAGCCATGCGACAAAGAGTGCGACGATTGCATGCAACACAACCCCCCTAGAAAAATGCACAAAACCCAGACACACATGCAACATGCCTTTACTTCACTCCCAATTTTCTAAGACCCAACTTTTCCCACCTCCCATCCCACTATTCCCACCCCCTCCCCCCCGACTGTCCCTAAAAACCCCAATTTCACAAAAACAAGTAAGCCGTGCATCGCACAAAGAGAGTATCCTCAATCCAACTGGATTGATACTACTGGTTGACTAATTCATTACATACTACATTTTTTACATTCATGGTTCCCTTAATCAAAGTCAAAATTGAATGGCGATAGTATTTCGTATCAAGTCAAGATCTCTCTCAATGCCAAAACGGTTTGTCTTAAGGGGTGTCAAGTTAGAGAGTATTAGAGTTGTGGCATTCCCTGAAAGAAGAAAAAAAAAATCATAGAGAAGATCAAAAAAGGAATGAGTTGACGTTCTGTCTGTTTTGTTTTGGACCAACCAGACTTGATGGTAGTAGTACTGTAGGGTAAGGGGGAAGGGGGTCTTTCAAAGAACACACGTGATAGGGGACAGGCAGTTAGTTGGGTTAAACATAGGCGGCTCTAAGCTTGGTCATGAGATGTGGTTACCGATATAAAGGGAAAGGGCGAGAATAGAATGAAAAAGGTAAAGGGGGGAACGTGAGAAACACTGAAAGAGGAATCAAGGAGAACGTTGGTCCAATTGGAAACAACAGGGAGAGGTTGTGTGTGTGGTTGTGTGTGTGTGTGTGTGTGTGTGTGTGTGTGTGTGTGTGTTGTGTAAAATAGACAAGAAATAGAAGAGAGAGGCTGAAAATTACGGAACAAGACAAGAGATAAAAGACAAGGACTTAAACAACACTGACATAAGTTTACTAGGAAGAGGTCAGTTCCGCATGCGCAGATATCAAAAACTAACTACTCTTTCCAGGAAGAGTGACCCTTTGTGTTCACTTGAGGGGAGATCGAGCCTGAGGCATTGTGATTGATCGATTACAAAAAGGTTGCAGATGTCTAAAACTTCCCCTCTCTGATCTGACAAGAAACCCTCAGGACTTCTGATCTCAATATGTCCTTCAATGGACTTTTCTCTGGTGAAACTCTGTCAGTGAAATACTGGAGGGCTTGATGGCTGAAGTATGCGATGGTATCACGGCCATACAAGTCGACTTTCTGGACAGAAAAAGAAGTAAGAACAGAACGGAGAGGTTAAGTGTAGAGGACAGAGATGGACAGAGGGATGCTGTGAAGAATGAAGATGGATGCTGATTGCTGACAGACAAGTGGAGGCAGAAGGACAGAAAGATAGAAATTTGACAGGTAGAAAAAAAGAGAGAACAACGGTTGTTAAAAGATGACGTGGAGAACAGGTCGAAAAGAATAAAGAAAAAGTTAAGAAAACTAGAAAGAGACAGTGAATACTGACATCCAGACTCGATCAAGTTTAGCACAACACAGAGATTCTACAATTTCATCTAAGTCATCTTGTTTACAGAATATCACTTTGTCGTTAATATTGTAATGCCGGTAACTAAGTAACTTTGGCGAGTGGGAAGAGATTTCAAACTAGGGCTTGATTAGCTTTCTGGTATTTGACCAAAATATGTCCATCAAGTATCGAACCTTTATCTAAAAGTCACTCCAGACTATTTTAGTTTAACAATAGGAAATTACAAATAAAACATGGGTGCGAATATGTGTTCGCTTATTCTGTAGATACTATATAACTTTACAGCTGATGCACATGCTTCTCACTTGTAGTAATGACAGGAGTATTGCTAGTTTTTGAACTTCATGGCAACACAAATATGATAGAAAACATTAAAGTTACATTAAAGGGGACCTATCATGCAAAATGCACTTGTGTACGTCTTTTATACATGAATATGTGTCCCCGGTGTTCCAGGGAACTCACCAAGTGTCAGAAAACACAACCCTCTCTATTTTCCTCCATACCCAAATCTCTAAAAAAGGGGCTGCAAACGGATCTGATAAAAACTGATCCAGATTGAACACTGTCCTGACGTCAGGACGGTGGCGCTACGGCTATTGGGCCAACTCCACCAATCAGGAGGAGACAAGCCACGGCCATTGCCGTTCGAAAGCGCTGGAGACGCTGTAGTACATATGCCAGGCCTGTATGATGGTGCTGTTCTCACAGAATCTGCCCTTGCTAAAACAGGGGTAAAAATAAGTGAAAATTGCAAAATGATGGCATGGCTAAAATGCAATATCTGTTTGGTATTTTGAATTTTTTTTTATAATATGCCTTTATAGGTATGGTCCTACACTATATTATTCAATATAGTATGATAGGTCCACTTTAACTTTCCAATACTATTTTGAGTGAATCTGGATGCCAATAAGAAGAGAAAGAGAAGATGACAGAGTACATGTCTACTGAATTGGAGATAAAAGAGTGGACAACGAGACAACAGATGCTAAATCTTTATCCTGGTGGTCTGAGCCACAAGAGAAGTCAAAGACGTGGACGTATCCTTGGGTTGGCGGAAGGAAGAAAAAAAACCGTTGAAGAAAGACAAAAACCTAGAAGGCCAGATCTTTTCCACTCATGTCATAAGGCATTATTATATTATTATTTGTTTGAGCCCACTGTAATTGTGTGGTACAGTAACAGGGGCGTGATTATGTTTGCACTATTGAGCCATCCACAGGAATAAGAGCGCAGAGAACTGAAGACAGACACCCTTGCTGGTCCTTCTGTAGCCGCTATCGTAAGCAAATAGCTGCACTTCAGATGTTTGCTTTTGGGCCTCTACTCTAAAGTTCTTATCGTGAAACAATACAATGCATACCTAATTCCATATATATGCCTTTCAGAGAATACCAGTAAGACCACAGGTAGTTGATTGTCCTGGAGTCTTTGACCGCTGCTTACAGGATGTTCTTTTTTTTTTTATTGTACTAGCAAATTTGAGTGCCTGTGACACAATAACACATACGACTGGTCAGAAAATGTGCTTTTTAGGAACTTCTTTCTGGCCTTAAATCTCAACCTTGGTCGAAAAAGCGTATCAAATATCTTCATATACTGCAAGATCCAGTGTGGTGTTTTTGTCCTAGTTTGGAAAGATCCTTAATTTGTGAAGGAAAAAGGGGAATTCTTTGTCAGATCTGTGGTCTATCTATGTCTTTTCGGACGTGATTTTGGCGAGTGCATGCGTCCGTGCAGGTTGCAGAAGGACTGGCAAAGCCTCCTCCGTTCCTTACTCCTGCGGCCCTGACGGGAGGAATAAAAGAAAGAGAATTGACTACCACTCCACTATCACTTCACTTCATTCACGCACGACAAAAAGCCCATCCCTTCCATCCCCGCGGTTCGGAGAGAGAGAAGAGAGGACAGCGCTCACCACCACCACCACCACCACTACCAGACAATGAGGAGAACACCGGTGGGAGGAGGGAGGGAGGTGGAGGAGGTAGAAAGGGAGAGGAAAGGGTCTACTCCCACGCGATGGGGAGGTTTAAAGACGGAGATGGGAGGGGGGAAAAGGAGAGAGGAGAGTAATGATGGGAGTAGGAAGGGAGAGGAGGAGGTGGGGTGGTGGTTGAGGGGGGTGGAGGGGTAAAGGTGGGGGGCGAGTCTACCTTATAGGCGACCCGGGCGGGACACCTCTTCCCGAGGCCTAGCGGCGGACACATGTGTCTTAGCATCTGATACATGTCTGTGTAACTGATCCGGCCGCTGGGGTGGCCACAAACACACACACACACACACACACACACACACACACACACACACACACACACACACGCATCCAAACATCCGCGACCACATGACAGAACAAACAAAGACGGACGACGTGAAAACGTAGAAAATAAAAATGACGAGGGGGAGGGAGGACGATGGGGGGGGGGGGGGGGCGCAGACGCAAAGGGGTGTTTTTGGGGGGGGGGACATGAGGGGAAAAAAGAAAGGAACCGACAAAGGAAAGGAAGAGGGGGGGGAAACAAATACACAGAGGTTATTGTTTTGACCGCTTTGGATATGTGGTTGCTGTGGTGAGAGAAAGAGAGAACGCAAGAGAGAGAGAGAGATCGAGAGAGTGTGTTACGTGGCTTCTAGTCTGGTTTATCATAAAGTAGGGGGAGAGGAGAGGAAGGAAGGAAGGAAGGGAGGGAGGGAGGGAGGTAGAAGGGTTGGGGGGGAGAAGGGGAGAATTGGAGGAGGAGGTGTTATTTAGTTTAGTTAGTTGTTGAGATACCGTTCTATGCGAGGTGAAAAGGGGATTTGGGATTTTTTGTTTTGTTGGTCTCTGCCCTCTTTCGCCGCTCGGATAGAACTGGCAGCGGGGCTTCTAGCAGGCAAAGAAAAGCACCGCTGCAGAGGTCGGAGTGAGTCACAATGACAAGTCAATGCAGTCTGTAGCTGAGGATGCGTGTCCGCCGGGAACCTCCGCTCACACCTGCGTCTCCGGACGTTCGTGGACACCCGTATGATGACAGGAAGCGTGGGGACAGTGCTAACAGCAGACCTTTAGAAGGTCAGTTCACCCACATCACTGAATGCTTCCTAACTTACCTTTCCCACTTTATAGATTATTTCAGTTTAATGTGTCCAGGGTTTGAGATATAATACCCTAACCCTAACCCTAACCCTAACCTTGAAATGTTTATCCACTTGGATTACAAAGGAAAGTGAACTGGTCAAGGTAATGGTGCTCAAAGCTTTGAACAGTGTCCCAGTGGTACCAATTAAAGTCAAAGCCTGTTTTTTAGGTTCATGTAGGTAAAAAAAAGGGGAGTATAAATCAAAGAGTGTGGCGAATAATGACCTCACAGAGTGAGTGACATAACTGGTCTCATAGCTCTGAAAAAGCTCATACAACGAAAGTTAAGTATGACCTATGGCTCAGGAAATGTAAATCATAATGGGTCTCTATAACCAATATCTTTTGCACCTGTTATCCTTAAAATGATTAATCCAATCGTTCAAGGAAATGGAATGATTAAGGGTAAACGCTGCTGCAATCCTCATAAAAGGGCATACCACATAAACTGAAAATAATTAAGTGAAGAATGCCCAAATAAACTCTACAAAGGATAAGGCACCAGACATGAAAAAGTTAGAATGGGAACGCCAAACGAGCTGCTAGCGTTCCCAATGCGCTTAATTGATGAGAGTGTTGCTTAAGTCTTGTTTATTTATTATAACTTTGAAGGCAATCATTGTTGCACAAACATGTCAACACTCAAATGTGCATAAATATGTGTAAACGTTACTGTCCGTAGATTTCGTTTTTATGAATTGTATTACGTCTCCCAGGCCCTTAAAACCCCATTTAACTGTCATTTGATTGCGACTGTAATGTACAGCTGATATTTGTTGAAATATGAATTATAGAATCAACTCGTCTCATCCTATTAACAAAGCACCTGAGCTCAGTGGCCTCAGCATATAGAACTGAACACATGTGCATGGCTGAATATCACCAAGGCAAGGCAAGGCAAGGCAAGTTTATTTATATAGCACCTTTCAACACAAGGCAATTCAAAGTGCTTTAGAGGGGTAAGTTGTAAATTATCTTGTTTACAATGATTTGGGCGAACTGACCAATCGGCTGCAGCACATTAAAGAGATCTTGACAGTAGACAAATACAGATGTCATGACCAACATCCCTTCCCACGAGCCTCCGTTGACACAGGAAGTTGTTGAGAGGTTCCTGGTGGACACAAGACCTTCTGATGTCCAGAGTCCCTGCCCCAAACCACACACACACCCTGCCCCTTTCCTTCTTTCCCCCGAACACCAGAGCCACAAACAGAGCAGGTTTGGCCATTTTATCATAGTATTTCAGGTACCCAGAAAATATAATCTGTTACTTGAAGGCCTGTTACATTCTCCACTGTGCCAACACAAACAACAACGTGTGATTTGATTGAGGAACTGGATATACATACCATCAAAAGAGCTTGCTATTTCTCCAGGTTTTTAACATATATTTAATTGAAATCTGCAAATGTCCCTTCTCATTGCTGTGCACTCTTTATGTAGAGCGTGTAACAGGCCTAACAATTGTTTTTATTCCTTTAATCATAAAGCCACTATGTGTAGGAGAGGGTTTCTGCAGGTTTCAATCAGTTACAGTTACGTTTTTAAGACTTTAAGGACTATGTTGTATAAAACACCAGTTTGCAGTCATACTGGCAGAAGTGGGAAAGACAAATGGTATTAATTAAAAAAAGTCCTATAACTAATTTAAGTACATGCATTTACTCGCATGTACAATCAAGACATACATCCCTCTTAATAATGTGCACTTAATACCACAATAAATAAGTTTAAGAGCAACACAATCATATTGAAAACTATTTGACAATTTTTTAAACATTTAATTTAAAACCTTTTTAGGGGCCAGTAAAGAAATTCAGACCTTCAGTACACATAGTGGCTTTAAAATTAAAAAATATAATACTTCAGGCTGCTTAGAACAGTGGTTCACAAACATGTGCCATGGATGCAGAGGTGTCTGCAGTCTTTACATTAGAACAAACCAAACGTCTATAAACTAACCTGCAGACTCATGAGCCTCGATGACACATGGCTGGAAAGCACGAGCTAACAGCTACATACGTTAGCATGTTGACAGTACTCAGACCAAGCCCTCTCTGCATAAGTCTCTGTACTAAAGTAACCCCCCCCCCCCATCACCCAAACCCCAACTCAAACAAGAACAATGCACATTGCTCAACCATTTTTTCTGCCCAGGCAAAATTAGACAGCAAGCAGAAATAAAAAACAATGGCTAGAGTCTCAACTCTGTTGTTTTTAAGGTAATAGTGAATAAAAAGTGAACACATCATTGTCATTTTCCCAGCGTTCAGTCAGAAGACAATAGCGAGTGCAGTGGCACCATCTCATGCGTCACACACCGATTATCGATGTGTGTGTGTGCGGGATTGCGTACAAGAGTGTGTGTGTGCATTTCTGCATTGTCCCAAACATTCTCATTCATGGTCAGAATGCAGATACAACAGAAACCCTGCCCCAAAATGGTTTAATGGTGAAATGATTCAAAAACAACTGAATAATGCAAACCCAAACAGAAAAATCAAACCAAATGAAAAAGTTGACTAAAAAGATTTGTTCTAAAAGTGATAAAGAGCGACATTCATTCCAGTCTCTTAAAGGCGAGCAGGTTGCGTTTAAGTTTGTGCTTTAGGGGTTTAGTCCAAACCTTGCAGGCCACCCTATGTGGGCATTTCTTGCCAAGGCCCAGGGGAGGGGAGATAACTCGCAATAAAACTGTACATATCCTTATAATGTATGCGCCCGCTGCAAGAGAAATACAAGGAGGGGAGGTTAGGAGAGGGGAACACACAGAATACTGAGAAGATGATGGAGAAGGAAAAGGAGAGAGCATTTATTTACACTGAGAACACACTAAATACAGAGGGCAGAGGAGGAGAGGGTCACATTCATCTCAACTGTGCACGTAATGTGCCATTTGAGAAAAAAGGCAGAATGCTTATGTAAGAAAGGAAGAGAGACGAAGAGAAAGAGGGAAGATGGATAACTCTTTGCTTAGTGCCAGCTGCAACTGATAACATCACAAGTCCTGTTTCATCTTAAACACTTCCTGGATGAGATCATGACTCCAGTGTTTGCCCCGTTTTGGGACGGGAGAGAAAGTCAAGGGTTAAAATGTACAGTCAAATCAGCAAAAACAGTTTGTAGATTAGCTCTGTGCGTGTGAGCTCTTTGTGTAATACACTATGTATGTATCTTTGGTATTTGATAGTTCATGTGTGTTTCTATCCTTGTGTCACTTCTACAGTGTGAGTGTGTGTGTGTGTACCACTCACCAGGCGGCAGGGTCGTACTCGGCCCATATCCTTACATACTCGTCCAGGTGATGCGGCCCCAGGATAGAGGAGTCTCTGGTCAGATACTCAAAGTTGTCCATGATGACGGCCACGAACAGATTCAGCATCTGGAACAAAAAGAAGGTTCATCAATTAATAAGCAAACGTTTCATTTTTACAATCAAATACTGGTCAAATGCAGGAATTATAGATTTGAGACATATTTACGTAAGCCCTGAGAGGCAAGTGAGAACAAAGTCTGATCTGAATTGATTTTATTTTTGGGGCTGTTTTAACCCTTAGCCTAAACCCATCTTTCTTCTTATTGTAAATATCACTCGATACCAGCAGTCAAATGTTTTCGGATCCGGTTGAAATTGCCTTTCAAATAAATGTAATTTCCGTTAAATGTACAACAGCCGTCTTTGATTACCATGTCCAGAACTCACATACTACAAGATAGAAGTGTACTAAACAGATGATCCTAATTGAAACATATAATCCAACTGGTACACTGTGAGTTATCACAAAGAAAGGAGAGGTTATTAAAATGTGTGTGCAGCCTGTAGCAAAGGGAAGCAATTGGATTTTGTCTAAACAATACGCATAAATGCACATTTTGATTATAGAACTGGTATATTCTCTAGTTTAGTTCTACTTTTTACGCTGCTATGGACAATCCGGCAATAATATTTTGCACATTCTATGGACAATTTTGCAGTAATGTACATTTTCAAATATTGAAGTGACTGTTATTTTAGGTCTTAATGTGTGCATATAGGATATACATATTTGCACACATATTTTTATATACATTTGTTTTTATATTCGGGATTGTGGGAAACAGTATTTTGATCTCTCTGTCTGTACACACAAACTAGAAGATTGACAATAAAATTGACTTTGACTTTTGACTTTGACTACTCACCAGGAAAGAGCAGAGGAAGATGAAGGAGACGAAGTAGGTGTAGGCGAAGGTGCTTCCACACTCAGGCTCTTTGTTCCCTGTCTCCGGGTCGCACACCCTACCGCCGAGGCACGCCAACATGATGTCATGCCACGCCTCGCCCGTAGCGCTCCTGCAGGAGGGGAAACACAGGACAAAATATGAGTAAGTGCCCATAAAGCACGTCATCGATAGCAAAGTGCAGAAGGCATCACTGGTCAGCTACTGCCCACACATTCAGAGTATGTTGGAGCGATGGGGCAGCTTTGGGAACATCAGAATTCATCGTAAACTCATGGAAGTAGCATCTCCTGTACTGTATTTAGGTCTTAATGTGAACATGACTGTGTATATATATATACATATTTGCACACATATTTTTACATTTTATATACATTTGTTTTTTATATTCGGGATTGTGGGAAACAATATTTCGATCTCTCTGTCTGTACACAAACTGGAAGATTGACAATAAAGTTGACTTTTGACTCGACTGATTCAATCACAACTATTATGTCAGTGCGATAGGTTTTTTAAGTCCTTTACAACACAGTTTGTAAATGGAGAAGACGACAACAACCTGCTACCACTAATAACCCAAATGTTTTAATGTGTGTGTGTAAAAGAGAAGGTAAAACTCACCTGAACAGCAGCATCAGGGCCATGATGAAGGTTCTGAAGTTATTGTGCTCGTTGATGGCACTCCCGTCATCGAGTGCCAGATTCCCAAACAGCTAAACACAAACAGTGGAAGGAGAAAACAAACGCAAAGAACAACCCATTACTGTAGTAGAGTATCAACTCTAATGGTTGCTGGAAGCGTTTCACATATGAAGAGAAAAACCTGCTGAACCTTAAAAGTACAACAACGTATACAATTCCAGATTGGCACCAGGCAGTACTCACCTGCATGCCGATGATGGCATAGATGAAGAAGAGCATGGCGATGAGCAGGCACACGTATGGCAGAGCCTACCAGAGAACATGGAGAGGGAGTCATTATTTGTGAGAGCCCTTACATGTATTGTGACAATATTTAAACTATGTTACCAACTAACTATTATCTTACATATTTTTCATTTTGTTTGTCCTTCACATATCTGAGAGTTGCCAAAGAAATGTCGTTGCACTTTGTATGATGACAACACAGATATATTGTTATATTCTTATCTTGAGCTTGCCCTTTGTTACTACTCCTCCCAGAAATGTTGGGCAATTGTCACCAAATGTGGTTCACAACATCAACAATATCTATGGACTAAGGCAGTGATTCTCAAATAGGGGTACGCGGACCCCTGGGGGTACTGCAGGGGTACTGCAGGGGGTACGTGAGATTTAAAAAAAAAAATAAAAAAAAGGTTAATTAAAAAAATACCATGCATGATTACAAAAATAATCTTAGTACAATAAGTTAAATAGAAAACACAATTTTAAATAAAATATTCCTAGAACCACCAAGCGGGTCCTCATATAAACATGTCAAATGTGTGTATTGTATTTTATAGTTTTTCACAATATATCATTTTGTTCATTGGTTTGTTAAACATATATTACTTCAGTTGAAAAACTCCTTGGAAAAATCTGTTTTATAAAAATGTCGTTATGTTATTTTTTTTCATGCATGAAGATGAAAATATCCTTAGTTTGTTGTAATGCATGCACGAAGGAGTTAATAAATCACACACTGAGGGAACATCACTATATTGTAATTATTTGTATAGGCTTTTTCGATCAAAAATGTTCGGGGTCGGTCAGGGGGTACTTGGCTGAGAAAATGTTTCATTACTGAAAAAGGTTTGAGAAGCACTGGACTAAGGAGTAAAACGTGAATTGTTCCGATTGTTGATATTCCAAACGGTTGCAATAGCTGACTTAGGCAAAGTTTATATTAGTAAAACATTAATATATCCTTAACGTTTTGTCTTATTGGGACTACATTTGGTGGATGTCTTGTATTCTCTGATTGACCAGCGCAAATTTGGTGCCAATCAGCCAAAGGGTGTTGGCGCATCTTCAAACTATTAAGAAGGCATCTCTGTCTGCGAATGTACAACTTATTTGCATATCTCAAGAACTGTTCATCCACTAAACTTTATATTTGGTGGGTGTCTTGCTGAGGACCAAAGACAGTTCAGTGTTGAGTGAGAAGAGAATTAGACGAGGCGATCTTGGCGCTAAGTTGTAGCTGTTTTAGTCGGGCACAGCACTGATACCTTAAAGGACTGGACGAAGGTCCACAGCAGGATGCGGATGGTCTCTCCTTGTCGCAGCAGCTTGATGAGCCGAGCCGCCCTGAACAGCCTCAGGAAGCTCAAGTTGATGAAGTTATTCTACAGCACAGTGGGAAACACAGTCAGCTTCACAGAACTAACTCAACATGCAAAACCTCCCTCTACCAAACACAAAAACCAAAACCAACAGCGGAGGAAAGAGAGGTTAAAGAGAGGGGGGGGGAATCAAACCCAACAAAACATAACTGCAAACTTAATGATTCATAGTAGATGCAAGTATACATGGGAGAAAGACAGAGAGAAGGTTTAAAAGTCAAAGACAAGAAGGAAAATAGAGGAAATAAGGAAAAATCATAATTCAAAGAGTCTAAAGTTCATCATCCATCTGGTACAGCAGAACGCTTTGTTTAAGAACCAAATGCACTGATCTTTGGGGGGCAGGCAGGCCTCACAGGATGGAGCACATTGCACTGTGCCTGTCAACCACACACACACACACACACACACACCAACACACACACACACACACACAACACACACACACACACACACACAACACACACACACACACACACACACACACACACACACACACACACACACCACACACACACACCACACACAACACACACACACACACACACACACCTAAAGAGCGTGGCTTAAGGTTGTCTGTGACACCCAACTCTTTTTAATAGTTTGGGTTTGCTTTTCAAAATCAGATGAAGTGTGATGTCTTTTCTACAGAGAGCAGCAGCATTGTGGAATAGAGTTCTAGAAATTTGGTGCATTTTCACACTTGGGTTTTTTCCCCCTGAGTTTAGTTTGTTCCGGAAAGTCAGCGCAGAAAAATCTGTTTCTCTTTGATGCTATTTATCGTAGCCCACACCCAATGTTATTGTCCATTTCCAATAATATATGACACATTACGTCATCCCCTATGGATGAAAAATATGTGTGTAGATATGTGTGGTTACATTTGTAGGAAAGACAATTTTAAGCAAAATGGTTCAAACAAATTCTCAAATATTTCGTAATTATTTCTTTGTGTCTTGTTCAAAGTTGCTGCTGGATTGTGACCCAGGCACAACTGCTTTTATATGGTTTGACTAAAGAACCAGCTTGAAAATGATGAAGCATATCATTTTTTTGTCATGTGAACATAGTGTTGTTAAGGATACTAGTCCCAGCCTCTCTCAAGGGTTTAAGGTGACTCTTGTGTGTGATAACAGTCCTGCAGTAATTACTTGTTCAGCTAGACAACTGAAGACACAAAATACAGTCTTGGTAAACAGTGGTATTTAGGACCCACCGAGACACAGGTGTCACATGACATTTAAATGTTCTGGAAAGTTCCTTATACAGCTTTAGCCTTGTTTTTATCTCATGAAGTCCATAAGTGACACACCCTGAACAGTTTGGTGGGTCATGGGCCAGGTCATGTGACTTTGTGTTCCCATGACAACATGTCCAAGATGTCCATGTGCGATGCTAACACATGTGACCGAACGAGCTACATTTCAAAAGCTTTTTTGTTTGTTGCTAAAGGGAAAATTCAAGCCATTTAAGAATTAAAAAGCTTACATAACATGTCCTTTATTACATTTAATCTGTTGTGGAAACATTTCTTGATCAAATTGATATGAAACAAATGAGACAAACATCGCTGTGACACTGCTGTTGCATCGGGACTTCAACCCTAAACTTTCACAGTAAACCCAAAGTGACATATGCACAATTAGAAATATGATTATGATCTGCTCAGTTAATTTAGCTGATTCAATTATATTTAGTTAATATATTCTTTATTCTTCAATTCAAAGAATGTTCAACTAATTTAAACCAAGAAATCCTCCTCATTAATTAAGTTATAAATAAGAGTCAGTTTTCCATTAAAGCCCAAAGTGACATATATGTCACTTTTCAGATATTTGACACTAGGGGGGGTTACTTGTCAGAAATGTGTTCTATGTGGTCTATTTATTCTAAATTATGTTCCCTATAATTTTCCCACACGTAGAAATGGGTCTGGGTTCTTATGGGTTAAACCATGTGTGAAAATGACCGTAGAGACCAGGGAGACTGTCTCAATATGGATTTGAGATTTCTGTTACGATGACACAGACAGACTAATGTACAACAGCCAAACGTCCTGAAGGGGCCTTGGCATCTTGTGGTTGACAGGCAAGGCTGGAAGAGGAGCATGAGGAGGAAGAGGAGGGGGAGGAAGGAGGGGTTAGCGAGCAGCCTCAATGCAGGCATACTTTCGGCATGGCAGCAAACTTATAAAGAAAGAGCTGGCCTACATGCAGACCAGAAGGGGCACAAACTAAGCTCTGATTCACACATTCACTTATTTATTTGCACTAAGAGTGTGAGATTATATTTGTATTATTCTATGGTCATTTCTTCCAAGTAAAGCAGGGCAATATATAAGTATTCTATTGATATTGTGATGATTTTGGATATGCTTATAATGTTGTCTTTTAACACATCCTGTCCAGAAATGCATGTCAATTTCTGATCCTGACATGCATACAGCCTTTAAAATATAAGCTTCAGTTATCAGAGGAAACAAACTTAGTTCAGTTATCTAACAAAGGTTCTCTGTAACGTTGAGAAAATACTGTGGTTTTCGTTAAAATAGCAAAAAAGTGGGAGCTTCGTCACTAACTTACTAATTAACTTATACATTAATTTCATGGAATATACACAATTTATACTAAATTATGTTGGTATAGCTACAAACTGTAAATACGAACAGCTTAAGTATTCTCTTGGTTTTTAAAAGTTATGTTATTCTCTTATGTTCTAGCAGTTATATACTTTTTTATTATTTCACTCAGCCATTACATCCTTATAATCATGATATTTTATTACCAATCTATTGTAAATATTTTTCTAAAAAGCACTCAAAGTCAACCCTAAAACATTGCCGATAACAAAGCTTTTGGTATAAAAATATTGCGATATTTGATTTGAGCTTTATTGCCCAGCCCTAGCTACATATTCAAAACCTGTGTTTTCTAAAATGTTCTAGAGAATTTAATAAAGTACATTTGAGTACCTGTAAAATAGTTTTTCGCTCACAATGTTCTTTCGCTCTTTGTTACCAAGCACAAAGAGTGTAAAGGTCATCATCCAGGAAGCACATGCACTGGGTCAAGGTTAGGACTGGTCATGGGGGAGGAATGGGTTAGGGGGGGGTGTACGCATGACCAATGAGGATGCAGCAGAAAGCTTTGAGAGATAAATTACAAACCAACCAGATTCTACATTTGCCAAGATGTAGAAAGATGAATGGGAAGGGTGGTTATTATATATATATATATATATTTTTGGTAAGTTGAAGTACATTGTGAGTGGGTGAGAGACATTTTTGTGGGGGTGGTGGGGGGGAGGTGGGGTTGGTCGTGTGTTTTTTTTGGACAGGGGCATGGGGCGAAAGGCACACCATCACCATCACCATCATTATCATCATCATCATCACAGCACCACCACCACATGTCATGGCGCAGCACGGATGGAGAACACGATGAAGGATTTCATAGTGCATTTTGATTGGATGGATTTTATCAGAGGAGGAGGGAGTGGGAGGGGCGAAGGGCGCCAACAAAGTAGAGAGGTTTAAAGAAAGCATGTAAAGAGATAGAAGAGGAAGACGGAATCATTATGGGTGTCATTAAAAAGGCAGTGAAACACAACTTCAAGTTAACAACAACAACAACAGTTAGCGAGTGATTTTATATGTTCAGCCCCTCTTTGATGCCAGCTCAAGCAGCAACGTCCGGATCTGAAAAGTGAAGCCGATGCGAAGTGTCTAAAAAGTATAAAAATGGCCAGCAGGGGGCGACTCCACTGGCTGCAAAATAAGTCCGATTGTATAGAAGTCTAGGATAAAATGTCCCTACATCTCACTTGATTTATTACCTCAGTAAAACATTTTCTAAGAAGTCTACGGTTTCAATCTTTAGTTCAAAGTCTCTTTCGATACACATTAGGCACTTTCACACCGCAGTACTTTTCCCACAAAGGTTCATCAGAACTTAGTTAATGAGAACTCTTTAGTTCTCATGAACTAAGTACAGATCGCATTCACACCGGAATGAGGGAGGATTAGGCAAATGAAGCCGCTGACGTCACTTCTTCTTCTGCTTTGGGTTTACTGGCAGGCCGCAAACAACTTCACGGCGTATACTGCCACCCAAAGTCCTGGAGTCCCCCGGAGTTGGGGACTGGCTTCAGTAGAAGCTGCTGGGTCGTGTCTTCCGAGTAATTCGCCAGAAGCGCAGACACCTCCTCATCACTCCACTGCTCCCATGTTTTATTTTGTGTTGCCATAAGTTAGTCTCTCTCTGTTGGTGCGCTGGGCTAATGCTAATGCTAATAATGCTAATGCGTGCAAATAAAATGGCGGCTTCACAAAACTTTTCTGAGTTTTACGGGGGCGTGGTTTGCAATTCGCCCAGCCAATCAGAAATTGTTAGTGTGGCCGACACACCCACGAACCATCTCCTCCCCAGGAAAGTACTACCTCTCTAGCAGGGACTATCTGGGGGTGAAAAGGTTCGCGCAAACTAGGGACAAGTTCCAGATCCTTTTTGGTGTGAAACCAAATCTCCCCCCCCCCTATCGGCTTAGTTCGGGGGAAAAGTACTCCGGTGTGAAAGCGCTAATTGTGCTAGCTTTCATCCAAAACTATACAATGCCGTTTTATTCGCGTAGCCTAGCATTGGATAGTAACAACCTTTTCCCAAACAGGTCTATAAAGGCATTCTTACAAATTGTATTTTATTTCAAGTTTATATTAAGCAAGTCTTCAAGCCTTTGTGACATTCCCTCCTCTACCACTGACAAATTCAATATCATCATTTGGCGTCCTGATTTCTTTCTGTGTTCTAGTTATTTGATTTGTTGGCTTTTTAGCAACTGTCAGTCAGTGGAGCAAACATCAAAGGGACTAGTTTGATTCAGCTTTGGATACAAATAAGTCCTTAGTGCTGAAACAAGATAGAGAAATCAACCTGAACTAGCAGCTGTTTCTTTCAGAGCCCTGTCAACACTATGCAACCAAACAACCTGTCAATACTGACACTTGCTCGTAGCTGACATGCTAACAACAGAAGTGCTAACACAGCTGGTTTGCTGCTGCAGGCTGACAGAGAATCAATCAGATGTCCGGAACGATCAGTTCACTGTTGAAAACACCGCTGATGTCAATTAATGTCTGTTCAGATGTTTCTTTAGCACATCCAGAATATTCCGAGGGTGTCTTTAACCAACTGAAAACAGCTGTTATGCAGTAATTACAACACCTACTCCTAATTAAGTAAGTGCAAATGAGAAGAAGAAGAAGTAGGTATTAGTGATGGGAATTACGGCTCTTTGAAGGGGGATCTTATGGCTCCGTTCCTTTCCGAGAGCCGTTCAAAAAGAGCCGTTTTTTTTTAAGTGGCGGTGGAGATTATTTGTTGACCCTGCTTTAAATGATATTTTGCCTTTACAAATGTTGCACTCCTCTTTATCATTGCCTAGGTTTTTGTTGAAGTGCATCCAAATGCTGCTAAGTTTGCGCGTTTGGCTCATTTGTTCACCCGAAAAACACGTCGTCTACCTGTACCACTGAAGAACGGCTCCCACCAAGTACGACTCGGTTCCCTTCGTTCGTACCAAAGAGCCGTTCAAAAGAATCGGATAGTTCGTGAACGTAACATCACTAGTAGGTAAGCCAGAGCAGTTTGTGAAATGATAACTGAAACCCAGATGCAAAATTAAATTACTCTTTGGTGTAAAAGTATGCAGAAACTGGACAACAGAGAGGGGCTGAAATTGCTAATGAATTACACAAATATTGAGTCCTATAGCTATACTCATATTAAACTTCTGTGGATAGAAAAACACATTGACATACAAACAACAAAATCACACTTGAGGTGAAATAAACAATTGTTAAGTCATAAAACACATACAAAATACAATCTGTGAATGATACAAATATATAAGCTTGAACATCAGACTCCACATGTATGTTGCTCTTACAGTAATGACATGTTAAGTGATTGGAATATGCACAATATGGACTTATATGGATCATTTGGAGTTGATGGACACACCAATCCGAACTGAGCAATTCAGTGATGGTTTTTCTCCAAAAAGCAACACATGAAGAATTTAGGGTGAAACATTTAGCATATCATTGGCATTGTTGGCACCACTGAATACAGAACATTATCATTAATAAGTGTGGATGCTCACATTGTTATATTTATAGGTAGTGTTGTTGTGTTAAAAGTTTGTTTGGCCTTTAATATTACATAAACAATACCACTGCAGGGTTTGAATGGTAATTATATCGCTACCACAGTCGGTGGTGATAAAACTTCAAGAGGAAACAGCTAGCATGGCTCCGTAAAAAAGGGTGAAAACAATTGATCTACCAACTTAAACTTAGTTAAAGGAAGAAGAAAACAAATCTGTTTTAGCAGCTTATTTTATATATATATCTAGATTATTATTATTTATTTTTTTAAATGCTATTTTATTTCTATTTCAGTAACTATTTTGGACTGTTTATTTTCTAGTGTCCTTAATTCTCTTATACGGTATATTGTCTTGTTTTATGCTGGCTGCAACGCAAACAGTTCCCAATTGGGATCAATAAAGTACCTACCCATCTATCTATTTACCTATCTATCGACCTATCGATCTATCCATCCATCTAATCTATCTATCTATCTATTATCTACCTATCTATCTATCTATCTATCTATTATCTATCTATTTCTATTCTATCTATCTAATCTATCTATCTCATCTATCTCTATCTACCATCTATCATCTATCTATCTATCTATCTATCTATCTATCTATCTATCTATCTAATTTGATGATGTTAGGGGTAGTAAGACAGATTTATTGCGTGATTCTTTATTCTTATGTGCATTATCTTTATAATATTCCACAATTTTCAACATATTTTGCTTGTGAAATAATGCTAAGGTCTGTCTCTAAAATGTAAATGTTAAAAACAACTGATAAATAAATACATAGCAGCATTTGAAGGGTATCAAGACAATAGTGGGCCTCTTTATGACTCCAATATTGAATTAATAACATCAGGTGACACATCTTAATGAATTAAATGTATGTATAATCAGAACAGAAAACGTAAACTAAAATAAAATCTATCAAAACTAGACATTGACAACAAGGCGGATTTTAAGCTATTGTTCAGCTGCAAGCATCAACTGAATTACGTCCAAACACTCCACATCACTTACCCCTAGCTCTGTCACTAAAATGTCCGTAACGCTTCCAAGGACCGACACAAAATCAAAAATGTTCCAGGCGTCTCTGAAGAAATTCTGTTGGGAAAGAGAAGAAAGACTTAAAGGGGACCTATCATGCAAAATGCACTTTTGTACGTCTTTTATACATGAATATGTGTCCCCGGTGTTCCAGGGAACTCACCAAGTGTCAGAAAACACAACCCTCTCTATTTTCCCTCCATACCCAAATCTCTAAAAAGGGGCTGCAACGGATCTGATAAAAACTGATCCAGATTTGAACACTGTCCTGACGTCAGGACGGTGGCGCTACGGCTATTGGGCCAACTCTCCACCAATCAGGGGAATGTGGGGTTGGGCCACGGCCGGCCATTGCCGCTCGAAAGCGCTGGAGACGCTGTAGTACATATGCCAGGCCTGTAAGTGGCGCTGTAGTCTGCCACAAAAGCAGTGAAGAAGACTTGCCGCCCATAGTTACCATGGTTACCCTTCAGTTTATTCTCCGCTGTGGCTTTTTTTCTCCCTCCCCGAGGCAAGCGTTTGCTCCCGCTGCTTTAATTCAATGCAATCCCTCCCCGTCGAGGCAAGCACTGTAATTCTCTCCGGTTAGTCCACCAGCAGATGACAAACACCCACCTCTCCGCCTCTTCCAAGGAACGAGGGGACCGTGCGGCAGAGTTTCAGTTTCAGTTTCTTTCGCTGGTCAAGATGTCCGTTAAAGTTTAAATCTTCCGGACAAAATTAGAAAAGTGCCGGTCAACTCTATATAATAAAACACGGAGGATGGAGATCTCTTTTTCTCCCCCTCTTCTGACAGCCCAGCAGCTGATCAGAGCACGTCTCCCCTCTCCTGCAGGGGGGCGTGGTCAGCAGAATCAGACCCGTAGACAGCAAACAGCACATAGAGCGAAATGAGGCATGGCTAAAATGCATGATCTGTTTGGTATTTTGAAAACAGAAACGTATAAATATACCTTATATAGGTATGGCCCTACAATATATCATTTAAATATAGCATGATAGGTCCACTTTAACTTTATACATATTTGCACATTAATTCAAGTAGTTACATTTCATTATGACTTTTGTGCAGTGACCGATTGAAACAACACACAAGTATAGGTCATAAAGCAGATCAAATATGTTTTTATTCTTATTCTACAATAGATTCTGTAATGTATTTGAACCAACTTTGTTCATACTGTCCAAAAAGGAGCAATCGAGTTGTGACGAGGTCTCAGAGTCAAAAACAATGCATGTTAAATATTCATTTTGTTAATATTAATAATGAATGAACTGTGAACAAGTGCGCACTTTTTGAAATAAATTCTATTAAGTGGCTTTTTTCTTTTCTTGCATGTGACCTCTTGTTATTATATGTTGTTTTAGTTTACTATCACATGCACACCTTGCCAATTTGAGAAAGTAGTTTGAACTACTTTCTCTTAGAAGTTTTACTTAACCAAACTAAATGTCGCCCTAGGGAAGCCTTGCGGTTGTTAAACTTATTCCAGTGTGAAGTAATTGGTAGAGAGGGGGGGGGGGGGGCGTTAAGGGACACACCCCCGACCAATGGTGGTGTTTTTTTACCGTGGATACAGACTGGAAGGAGGCCTATAGCGTGACTGCTTTGCGACACAATGTGCTCTAGATCTGTCTACTAAAATAACCCCGCTTTATAAATGAATAATAGGATGAAACACTGAAGCATATACACTGGGTCAACCTAGATAAGGAATATATATGTATGTGTGTGTGTGTGTGTGTGTGTGTGTGTGTACTAGCATTACTATACTTGTGGGGACCTAAATCTGTTTACACAGTCACGTGTGGGGACTCGCCTCCCTTATGGGGACATAATGGAGGTCCCCATAAGGGGAATAATTAATTTTAGGGTGAAGAATAGGTTAGGGTTAGGGTAAGGGTAAGGTTAAGGGTAAGGGTTAGGCATGTGTTGGTTATGGTTAAGGTTAGGATAAGTCTCCAGGAAATGCATGTAGGTCAATGTAATGTCCCCTGAAGTGATGTATACATGGTATGTGTGTGTGTGTGTGTTATCCCAGGTGTGTGTGTGTGTTTCATTCACTGTCCCTCAGGTTGTGGCATGTGTATATATATTGGGCGAGAGATGTGCCTTGTCTCCTTCTCCTAGGAGTATTTTAATCTTGAGAGGTCATTAACCTCTTTGAAATCTGGGATTACAGAGTTCAACTTGTTACAGTAAATGTTACTTATTCATTGAATGTTTCACACTTTAGGAGGAAGTGCATCTCTGTCTCAGTCTCACCTGTCGTACAGTGACCCACATATTCTGTTTTCTTTTGTTTGTGTGTGTGTGTGTGTGTGTGTGTTTGTACTCTCAACCCGTCTTATGTACAACTTTAACTACAATAACTAATGAAAAGATGCTTCAGAGTTCACCAAAATACAATTATGAAACCTGAAAATTAGATAATAGGGCGTGTGTGTGTTTGTGAGTGCTTCATGTTTGTGGATCGTATTTCTTTCCCAGCCTTACCAGAGGGCCAAAAGCGATGACCTTGAGGACTGATTCCAAGAAGAAGAAGCTGGTAAACACCATGTTGAGGTACTTCAGGACCTCATCGAACGTGTCTGATGCACCGTCGAACTACAGACACGAAAAAAGATGGAGTAAGAATGAGAGAAGTTCAAGTAAATGCAAAAGTAGGAAATTGCAACCACATGAATAAGTTTTTATTTTATTCCACAAACTAAGCTAAACATCACATACACATCTGATAAATGATGGCCTTCGAGACTTGAAAATGATCTATTTATACTCCTAGTAGTAACATAACTATATTAGCATTCATTAGAAGTGAATGTAAGTTCAATATTCTCTGTTTTGGTTCTCCCTCCGTCTATTGAGGCAAATATCTGTGTCTTTAGCAGTTAAACGCTTCACTATGTTTCCACAGCTTGTCAATATCTGTGTTTGTCTGCTGTACAGTAATGGCAGGTAGTTTATATTGGGTTCATAAGAAAGTGTGAGCTTTAAAAGGGGATGATAAGAGTAATTCTAGGGTAAAGTTACGAGTAATAAAAGCACAACAATGAGCGAGATGTCGCAAGAATGCTCAATAGAGCTGAGGGGCAACATTGGGGGTTTTCACTACGAGTATCACCGACAACTTAAAGGAGAGGTGTCATCATACTTGCCAACCTTGAGACCTCAGAAATCGGGAGCATTTCCAAAACCACCGCGGGGGGGGGGGGGGGTCGCCGGAGCTGTATTAGATTAACATAACATGCTTATTGTAGTTGTAAGTGCACTGCCTTGCGGCCCTGCAGCACCATATGTGTGGGCTGGACCTGTATTTTACAGGAAAGGAGTGAGCAGAGGAGTTAGAATTGTCGATTCTTGTTCTGTTTGCTGTGACTATCTTCCTCACCCTCTCAGACTTTCAGTTGCGCCGCTACGCTACCATGGAAACCAAACAATGGTGTAGCTGTATTAAAGTCTGAGTGGAAAACAGTCCTGAGTACATCTGATTTTGTCAGAAATCGGGAGAAATGCGGGAGAAATATGACCCCGGGAGGAGGAAACCGGGAGGAGGGCAATGAAATCGGGAGTCTCCCGCGAAAATCGGGAGGGTTGGCAAGTATGGGTGTCATGGCCATTTCCACTGATCATAATTCCATTGTTGAGGTTATACTAAAATAGATTTATATTGTGCATTTCTCCAAACTCACATTGGTTTCCTCAAACAGCATCTCTGTAAACTACGTGTATTCACTGAATTTCACCTCTCTGCCTTTAACGGCTCATTGTAGCTCCAAAAGCTCCAGCCCCCCCACCCTCCCTGGGAGCACAGTGTGCTCTGATTGGTCGGGACGTTGTGAATCGCGCTGAGCTCCATGGAGGGTTTGTTTTCCTTGTTTAGGATACATAGCGAAACACAGCCAAAACTCATCTGAGCACACACAAACTCACATCCGAAGTAAAAACAATAAGTGGTGGCTTGAATATTGAGTAAGAAAAGGTTGATAAACGCTGCTTGTGGTGAGAATGGGTCTGCAGAGAGAATGGGTCTGCGGAGAGAATGGGTCTGCAGAGAGAATGGGTCTGCAGAGAGGAAATGGGTCTGCAGAGAGAATGGGTCTGCAGAGAGAATGGGTCTGCAGAGAGAATGGGTCTGCAGAGAGAATGGGTCTGCAGAGGAGAATGGGTCTGCAGAGAGAATGGGTCTGCAGAGAGAATGTCGCCGCGATCCAACCTGTCTGTTATCAGCCTGCAGCCAGGGAGGAGAAATCAGCAGAGCTGCCTGTGTGTGAGGAAGTCCGTGGATTGGTCAATTTGGACCAATCAGCGGGGGCTTTAACGTAACGGCTCCGCGGACGTAACGTAACGGCTCCACGGATTGGTCCCGGAAGAATCAAATGGACAATGACGTATCTCCAACGAGGCGTTTTGGGGGAGGTATTTTCTGTGTTAGAGTTTTACTCGCTATAGGGTGTACTTTGAGGGTTTTGACTCTGCACAGCGTCTTTACATGCATAAAAACCTTCATAAACACACAAGGGGGACGGGTAATAACCGGAAAAGCATGACACCTCTCCTTTAATGCAAAGTTTATATATCCATTAGTGAAATAAAGGGTTAGGGTTTTAGGAATGAGTTTATTTCTTAGAGACCAAACGGAGACTTTGGAACTGATTGAATACAATTGTTGTTGAATGCTTGTCCTGTGGTAACACCTACTCTGGTATATCTTTGTGTTAAATGTACAATATAAAACATTTGCAAATACACTGAGAGACAGACTTGTACCTTCATCATGAGGACGATGGTGTTTGAGTGCAATCCAGAGCCATGATGCTGTACTCAAAGGGCGGAGGACAACCACAAACTGCCACATGCGATACTGACAACTAAGTTTATTTTTCGGCATATGGCGAGTTAGAGGTCTGGCGTTGATGGCGAAATCTATACAGGCTCTCTGAGGGAGGAAACGGTAAGACAGAAGAGTTACTTTTGTTTTGCAACCTTTTAAAGAGCTTTAAAAGACGAATTCATTCAGAGATATCTCCTCACCTCATTTTTTTCTAAAACTATAATCCTCCATCATTTTATCCCCCTGTTCCTGGAAGGTGATGATGATGAGAGCTAC